AAAATCCAACACCCACTCATGAGAAAAACTTATACAAAACTGGAATACATGGTCTTTATCTCAATTTGATAAAAGCCGTCTACTACAACAGCCAACATCAAACTAAAAGGACAAAAACTGAAAGCTTTCTTTCTAAACTCAGGAACAAGACAAGGATGCCCACTATCACCCCTATCCCCACTCTTACTTAACATAGTCCTGAACTTCAGCTGGAGCAATCAAACAAGAGAAAGAAATAAAAGGAAAAAAGATAGAGAAGGAAGAAGATAAACTATCATTTGCAGATGACATGACACTCTACTCAGAGGACCCCAAAAACTCCACTAAAAGACTTCTAGGTTTACAAATTTAGTAATGTAGCTGGTTACAAAGTCAACACTCAAAAATCAGTAGCCTTCTGGTAGACAAATAACAAACTCACGAGAGAGAAATCAGGGAAACAATACATCTCACACTAGCATCAAAAAATAAAATACCAAAAATAAATAAATAAATAAATAAAATATCTAGGAATCAATCTAATAAAGAAGATAAAAGACCTCTGCATTGAAAAGTACAGTACTCTAAGAAAGGAGATTGAAGAGGATATTAGAAAATGGAGAGATATCCTGTGCTCCATAACAGGAAGAATCAATTTAGTAAAAATGGCCATACTTTGAAAACTATTATACAAATTCAGTGCAATCGCAATCAGAATTCCAATAGCATATCTCACAGAATTAGAGAAAACAATCCTAAAATTCATCTCGAACCAGAATAGACCTAACTAACAAAGGCAATCTTGGGCAACAAAGACAGGGGCATCACAATCCCTGACTTGAAATTATACTATAAAGCTACTGTGATTAAAAAAAAAAAAAAAAAAAAAGTGTGGTACTGGCAAAAAAAAAAAAAAAAAGACCTGAAGATCAATGGAACAGACTAGAAGATGCAGAAACAACTCCAGACACACTTAGCTACCTTATCTTTGATAAAGGTGCCAAACAAATTCACTGGAAGAAAGACAGCCTCTTTAATAAATGGTGCTAGAAAAACCTGCTCTACACGTGCTACAGATTAAAACTGGATACATATATTTTACCATGTGCTAAGCTAAAATCAGAATGCATCAAGATCTTAATATTAAACAGAAACATTAACTCTGCTGGAAGATAAGAGTAGGTAAAACTTGGTGTAGGCAAAGACTTTACGAACAGAACCCCTACTGCACAGGAACTATCACAAAGAATCAACAATGGGGATCTTACCCTACTGAAAAGTTTTTGAACAGCAAGAGAAATCACCAACAGAGTGAACAAACGACCCACCAGCATGAGAGAAAATGTTTGTCAGCTGTGTCTCAAACAAAGGATTATTATTGAGAACATACAGAGAACTCAAAAAAATCACTCCTATCAGATTTAGAGATCCAATCCAGAAGTGGACATCTGAGATGAACACACACTTGTCAGATAAAGAAGTACAAACAGCAAATAGATATGTGAAAAATAGTTCAACAAGGGCTGGGGATTTAGCTCAGCGTCATAAGCACCTGCCTTGCAAGCAGGCAGTCGTGAGTTCGATCCCTGGTACCGATTAAAAAAAAAAAAAGTTCAACATCACTGAAATACAAATTGAAACAACCCTGAGATTCACCCCAGAGAGAATGGCTACCATCAAGAAATCAAGCAATAACAAATGCTGGAGGGGCTGTGGAGGAAAAGGAATCCTTTTCCATTGTTAGTGAGATTGTAGAATGGTGCAACCACTGTGGAAATCAGTGCGGAAATTTCTCAAAAACTAGGATTATAGGTCCCATTCAACCCAGCTATTTCCCTTCTGTGTATTTGCCCAAAAAAATTAGAAACTTCATACCACAGTGATATATCTATAGCCATGTTCATAGCAACACAATTTGTAATAGCCAGATCTTGGAAATAACCTAAAGGCCCATCAACTGAGGAATGGATAAAAAAGATATGATACTTTTATACAATGGAGTACTACTTGGCCATAAGGAAGAATAAACTGGAGACTTTTATAGATAAATGGATACAACTTGAGAACATACTCATTAGTGAAATAAATAAGACACGTATGTGTAAACACCATATTGTTTCATTAGTGAGAGAAGCTAAAAATACATGTATGTGTGTATGTAACATGTATATAAAAATAGTTAAGATAGTTATACTACTGACTTCTCAAGAGTTCGCTGAAGAGAAAGATTTGTGCTGGTATTGTTTGGACAATTGAATGCAGATGCCTTGTGCTCTGGGTGACTGATTTGGAGGTGACAATGTACAGTATATGCACCATCACTGCCCCTTGGTTGATGCGTTTTAAAATTTCGTTGCAGTTTTTTTTTTTCTCTCATTCTCTTCTTCTGGTTTTGTTGTTGTTTGTTTTCTTTTTGTTCATGGACTTGGAAAAGATAAATAAGTAAATTTTGGGTGCCAGGTGTAGTGTCCCAGTGACAAGGAAAGTTAAGACACTAAGGATGCGGCCCACATCCAGCAACACATGGGACAGCCTCACATAAATGACCAGACTCAAAATGTCCAGGACTGAGGAACCATGAAGTAGGGTTCAAAACAAGCTCAAAGAACAATGACCAGATCTAGGAAAGCCTGTGACACTCAGGAAACAGATTCTGTCATCTGTGCCTATATCCCTTGAAATATGATCAGCTGAGCAGCCTCCAACTCCTCAAGTATGCTGCTTATAGGCCCAGACCCTCTGGGGTAGAACCCCAAGATCTGAGAGTACGAAAGCACTCAGATTTGGGACAGTTTTGAGCAGTGCAAAGTCAGCAAAGGGTAAAGACTTGACTGGGTATGAGAGCTGAGAAACAGGCCTGTAAGGAAGCAGTTTCCATGATGAAGAGGAGACCCTGACCCACAGCTGAAGAAACTAAAAAGAAACTACCTACCACAGTGATGCAGATCTCTTGTCTCCCACTATGTCACGCCAGTCTTACCACCTCCTTGCTCCTGGCTCCTCCTCGGAGCCTTCCTTCTCCCTTGCAGCTCTTGCTGCCTGGAGACCTTGCTCAAAGCTCTACCCTTTCTACCTCTGCAGATCTGCTCTGTTCCTCCTGATCAAGGCCATCTTCCTTAAGTATGCTAATATAAAATAGTATGCGCCACCATCAGCACTTAAACATAGTTCACTTGTTTATGTCTGCTTTTCCCATCTCAAAATGTAGGAGCCATGAGATCTCACCATAGAAGTTTTCATTCCCTGCTATATCCCAAGTGCCTAGAATTATGCACCACACAATCCAAGTACCCTAACAAAAATGTTGTGTTTTTTTCTGCCACTGAAAGAGACTTTATTAGGACTTATGCCATAGCATAGAGGAAACAGTTTAAGAACAGAACCCCTAATAAACATTTGTTGAATGAATGAGTGAAACAATAAATGGACGTTACAGAAACAAACTGTGATTGATAGCAAACCTTTCAGAGCTTTTAAAGATAACTAACAGGGGCTGGGGATTTAGCTCAGCGGCATAAGCGCCTGCCTTGCAAGCAGGCAGTCGTGAGTTCGATCCCCGGTACCGATAAAAATGAAAAAGACCAAAAAATAAAAATTAAAAAAAAAAAAATAAAAGATAACTAACAGCCTGGTGTGGTATGTGGGCCATAGGTTCACCACCACTGATTTAAAACACAGGTAATTGGTGGGGGATTAACTCAGCGGCCTCGAGTTTGATCGCTGGTACAAAAAAAAAAAAAAGGCAGAAATACAATACAGCAGTTGAAAAATGTGCACTTCAGCACCACCACACAGTAAAGGTCAGACCTTGGGCAAACAGAGCCTTACCATGGCTTTTCAATAGCAAACTAAGGATCCTAGACGTATAGAAGCACTTGGCATTGGACCCGATAAGTGTTCAAAGCCAAACAAATGTTAAACTGTTATCAGCACAGGTTTCATGCGTAGGAAGCCGTTGAAGCTAGAGATTCACCAAGTGTGGCGCTAAAGCAAGACCAGCCCAAGAAAAACAGACCAAAACAAGCTATGTAAACAAGTTGTTTCAGCGCAAAGAAGGAAAGGGTCCCAAGCCTGCCAGGCAAACAAGTTGCTAGGCAGTGAGGTTGAAACCGACATTCTTCTTTGGAGGGCATAAAAAAACACGCTACACTGGTTGAGCAGTTCCTTTCCTCCCATTAGGAGGATAAGGGTCCACCTGCCCACAGCTTTGTCTTTTATTTTTCTCATCCTCTCAAGTCCTTAACCTCAGGAACCTCACGAGCCGCACTGCGCATTCATGAGCAACAGAAGAGGACAAGGATGGATTTACAAGGCCCTGAGGGTTCTCCTCCAGATAAGGGGGAGAAGTCATTGTTCAGGGAAGGGAAGAGGAGGTGTGGGAGTGAAGAGGACCAAGGGAGACTAAGTACTTCAGCTGCAGGGGGGTCTAGGGCAGAGGGGCAGTGCCAGACTGCCTATAAGTCTCTATGCATTCACCCAAGCTTGAGGCCTCATTCCCTCTGTGCTTCGGTGTTCATATCTTTAAAATGGGAATCACTGCCTACCTTTCAGGGATCGTGGGGGGCGCAAGTGAGTCAGTAAACACAAGCCACCTTAAGGCTTAGCACAGGGGAAGTGATGTACAAATGTGACCATCATTAGGACAGAACCGAGGTTAACCTCAGGTATCCGTGGCTACAGGTTCTGAGTTGGATTCCTGACTGCTATTAATTGGGAATAACTGCTATCACCTTGGAAATACACCCTCAAATTCCCTTCTCTTTCAAAATTAAAATGATCCGCATCTCAACCTGAATTCACAGAGGGTCTGCAGAATCTTCTGCCCTGTAAGTCCGACTCCCCTTCCTCGTTCCCAAGTGCTGAGGCTCGCAAAGCGAGCGCCAGGCAAAGGCAAGCACCGACCCAGCGCTCCGCTCCGGAGACCAGGCCTTGGGTCCCGCTCCCCCCTCCCCGACAACACGGCCACCCGTTCAGGCCTGCAGTGCCAAGAAGCCTGAGGAGGCGGCGCCCGCGCCCCTCACCAGTAGCAGCTGCTGTAGACACACGCGGCTCTCGTGGGGCAGGCGGGCTGGTAGCGCGGGGCGGCGGGAGAAGATTCCTCTTGCATGGCCGAGCTCGGGCTCCTGGGCGTCACCGGCCCAGCAGCGCACGGTACGCCTCCTGGGTGTGAGACGGAGTCTGGAGAGGTCAGAGAAGCTTCCGTGCAGTGCAAGACCGGCTCCCGGCTGGGGCTGGATACGCAGGGTTGGGCGGGCGAGTTCAAGGCAATTCGGCGGTGGGAAGGTGGAGCCAGCATAAAGGGGCGGATCCGGTATGAAGTGAGCAAATGAGAGTTCTTGGGGGCGGGGCCCTGATGCGAGGATAGCGTAGTTCCGGGGTGGGAGAACCCAAAGGGTGCGGGGACAGAAGCCCTCGCCCTGGTAGGCGGGGCCCGGGATGCGTTTGGCGGCGTAGCTCCAGGTAGGCGGAGCAGACTAGTGGGTGGCCCCTCCCGGGGTCGTGGTTTCACTGCGCGTCATGGTGGGCGGGGCTCGGGGTAGGTCCGGAGCACCGCGGGAGGAAGTAAGGGCGCGAGAACGGCGGGGCAGGTTGGCGGGAGGCATCTGGGGAGAAGTTAGGGGCTCCTCAGAGTGGTGGCGGCGCAGCCTCGGGGGCGCCTGGGGTGAGCACAGAGACACCTCCTACCGGGCTGCGGGCCCCCTGTGGAGGAACCAGGTGAGAACCTTGTGTGTGAAAATCGACGCCTTGGGGCCAGGAAGTGGAGCGAGGGATTCAAGTATCCCCTTTGAGTCGCAACCTAAATCTCATCTAGTCTGACTCAATTTTTTAAATTCAGAGATGTGTATAGACTGGCTCCAGAAGATTTCCTAACTCCTTGATACAAGAAGCAAAAAGTTTTAAAAGTTTGAATAGTATTTCTTTTTTGCGTTAATCATATGTGTATTTGCTGGCTGCCTGGAAATTGTTAAATGGCTTCTCAGTGACTGAAGGACATTGAAGACGCTACACTTTACAACTTGGTGAATTGTCTTTATTTACATGGACACGTGTAACTGATAGGGAACTTCCCGTTATAAAATCTTAGGAAATTCTTAGGTTGGTTTTTGGACCACACAACAGTCAAATTACTCAACTACCAGAGTTCCAAAGTCCATAAACCCTGAAGACTGAATATATTGTCTCTATCAATTTATTGCCTCCATTCTGAATACGCACTCCTTGTGGATTCTATGCTAAATATCAGAATTCCATTAACTCTGTCTTTTAATCTGACATTAAGCTTTCTCAGCAGAGTACTGCGGGGATGCCAAAGGAGAGCGACCAGAGTTGCTATGAACCCTACTGTGATGAGCTAGAATGTGGTCTCCCTAAACTTGCAGCTGTTGCCTGCCAATAGCCTGCCTTCCTGAGGCCTCTGTATACAGAGCAGGGCTTTGGAGGCCTGCACACAGCGGTCACCTGCAGCCACACTGAACAGTGGGTCCTTCTGCCAGCCTGCCCTCCTCCCTATCTTCAGTTTCTCCATGCCCTCTGGTGGAGCTCTGCTTCTATTTCCTGGACTCCCACACATGCTGTTTTTGCCCAGCAGCTTCCAACCACCTCACTGTGGTGATGTGCTAGCCAGCCCACTCGATCATTAAGGGACTCTAAACTTGTTTCAAGTTTGTCCTCCTCTGGTTACTCTTCTTCAGCCTTAAGTATATAGAGGGCGGTGGTGGGCTATGACACGTGTGTTAACTGTGTTTTTCTTTTTAAGACAAAAGATATTGATGTACGAATTGTTTTTTCTAAACTAAAACCACAGTGTTCAGATCAATTGCAGTATGATAAATAAGTGGATTTGGGGTTGCAGTTTGGCGCTCATCTCTAAAAGGTCCACTACTGCTGTTTAGTTTCCTTCTATCTTAAGAGTTACACCTTTGTCATAAATATATATCCTTTCTGGTAACTGCTCTAAGAAGAGGAGGTAAGGAGCTGTAGAGTTAACAAGAACACTCTGGCAGGGTTGCACTTTCATGGGTGTAAGCATTTTATGGGAATGAGGGGTGAGGTCATCCTACGAACACAGGCTTATGCTTAGAAATCATACTGTTTCATCAAGACCTCTTAGAGCAGCATTTTGGGTAAAGTTGGCATGTGCCAAAGAGCTCTCAGCACCCATGTAGTACACAACTGCATAGCTTTGCAGTTATGAGCATCATCATTATGTGTCTATGCACTGAGTATAATAAACATTGTGCTGGACATAAATCATGATGAATTAATAACTTTTTGTACCGGGAATTGAATTTGTGACCTTGTGCTTGCCAGGCAGGCGCTTACGCCAGGGATGGGGATTTAGTTCAGTGGCATAAGTGCCTGCCTTGCAAGTGCGTGATCATGAGTTCAATCCCCGGTACCGATAAAAAAAATCCCCAGCCCTAAAATTAATGACTTTTTGTTAGGTGTATCCATATCTGATTTGTAAATCAGATTTCTGTGACAGACCCAAAAATATTGTGACTTAAATGAGATATGCGTGTGTTTCTCCTGTAACAGCCTGAGCACATGCATCCCAGCACTGTCTGCTACATAGCTCCTATTTTGTGGCAAGGCCATATCTAGTCTTGCCCTGGTTCATGTGATTGAAGATGAATTGCTACAATACCTGCTGCATCACATTCTGGCTTCAAAAGCAGAGGAGAAAATCTGCAAGGATACACACCACTTTTGCTTTTTTTGAGGGAAGGAATGTCGTGTGGATAGAGTTTAGCTAAATTACTCAGGCTGGTCTCCACTTGCCATCCTCCTGGCTCAGCCTCCCTTAGTGCTGGGATTACAGAGATGCATCACTGTACCTGGCTAGATTGTACTTTTCTTGTTTGTTTTTGAAACAAGATCTCATTTTGAAACAAGATCTCAGTAGTTCAGGCTGGCCATGAACTCACTATGTAGCCCAGGAAGGTGAACTCCTAACAGTCTTCCTGCCTCAGCCTCCCAAGTGCTGAGACTACAGGTGTGTGCCATCACATTCAGCTACATTGTACAGTACTTTCTTTTGCTTCTAAATTTTCCCTTATAAGCAGGAGTTACTCTTTTTAATTGGAAAAACAATTGACCATAGGGAAAACTATGTATGCTCTTATAATAGAGACGGTTTCAGAGCAGTAAGAACTGTCTAAAACCAGGTTCTAATCTATAAACTCCAATGATCTGGATTATAAAGAAATGAAAAGTGCATCTGAAAAGTGTAGTATACAATGAGATTAGGATGTTAGAGGGCAAGGATTTAGAGGAGGGACATCTGAGAAAGGAAGATATGGGAAAGGCCACAGGCATGGGAGGGAGAATTCAGGAAGTCCACACCATGTAGTACACTCCAGTTTAAAAATATAAGGCAATGGGGGCTGGGGATTTAGCTCAGCAGCATAAGCGCCTGCCTTGCAAGCAGGCAGTTGTGAGTTTGATCCCCAGTACTGATGAAAAAGAAAAAGACAAAAAAAAAAAAAAAGGCAAAAATCTTTTATTGAGGGAGTATTTTTAACTTTCAATATTAAGAACAAGAAGAAAAGAGATAAGCCCACTGCTTGGATCTGTGTTAAATTCTTTTATCAGATAACTGAAAGAAAACAGAAACTTCCATGCCTATTTTGACTTGCATTTTCAAACAATTTGTGTGTGTGTGTGTTTTCCTTTTTGCAGGGTACTGCAAAAAAAAAAAAAAAAAAAAAATCCACAAACTGCAAAAAATAAGTAAAATAACAGTAAGGAAAATTAAAGGCAAAGATAGGTGCAGTGATAGAAAGTACTAAATTGGCATAGATGGGTTAAGTCTTCAGTTCTGCACTTACGTGCCAGAATTTTGAGAGAGCTTTGGGTTATGACCTCAAAGCCTTTCTTAATAATCTTTGCAAAAATAAGTTAGAGGAGAGGACATAAGATTAAATTAGGGCTGGGGCTTTAGCTCAGCAGCATAAGCACCTGCCTGGCAAGTACAAGGTTGTGAGTTTGAGCCCTAGTACCCCCACCACACAAAAAAAGATTAAATTCAGGTGGAAAAAAGAGATTAAATTCAGCTGGGAGTGTGCCACCATGCCCAGCACTAGAAAGGCTTACGCAGGAAGATCCTTGCAAATTTGAGACCAGCCAGGGCTACAAAGTAAGCCCAAGGCCAGCTGAACCACATTAGAAGACGCTGTCTTTAAAAAAAAGAGGGGCTGGGGATTTAGCTCAGCGGCGTGGCACCTACCTTGCAAGCAGGCAGCCGTGAGTTCGATCCCTGGTACCGATAAAAACAAAAAAGACCTCCCCCCCCAAAAAAAAAGAAAAGAATTAATTGACTGATAGAGGTTTACAACTCATTATATCTTGATTTTAGCAAAGCAGTAGCCCAACTGCATTGGTCATGACCCATGCATTTCAAAGATAAGACAGAAAGGCTGCCATTGTTTCTTGTAACAGCACAGACTGAGGAGGAGGAGCTGCAGGCTCATAAGGGACCAGAGCCAGGACCGCATTCCCAGCCCTTCTTTCTTTTCTTTTTTTTTTTTTTTTTTTTTTTTTTTTTTGGTCTTTTTCTTTTTTATCGGTACCAGGGATCGAACTCACCACTGCCTGCTTGCAAGGCAGGTGCTTATGCCTCTGAGCTAAATCCCCAGCCCCTTGGAATTTTTTTTTTTTTTTTTCCCAGCCCTTCTTTCTCACCACCTCAAACTCTGCTCCTCAGTGCTTGGCTCACTTCTAGAACCAACTCCTCACTTCTGGCTCATACAGCCACAGGAAGTCCTGTATTCGCATTTTCCAGGCTCAGGAACCTGACTGCAAACAGAAAGTTCCTTTTCCTTCTAGCAATCACACAGAATGACTTGCACCTTTGATTCTTTTTAGTTTGGTTTTGCAGTATTGGAGACCAAACCTGGGGGTGCTCTACTACTGAACTATATTCCCAGCTGTTCTTTTGTTTTGTTTTGTTTTTATCTTTACACAGGGTTTTGCTAAATTGCCAGGTCTGGACTCGAACTTATGATCTTCCTGCCTCAGTCTCCAGAGTGGCTAGACTTACAGGTATGTGCCACCAGCCCAGCTAATACGTTTATTTTTATACCTCTGTGTTCTTGTGGTTTTGGGGAGGTGTTTCGTTCTTTAGCATGTATTGTATTACTCTGTAAGACATTTTAATTTTTAAAAATCAAACTTATCAATATTAACCTAAATAGCTATGTGTGGGTAATTATTATTTATTTTTGTACCAGGGATCAAACTCATGACCTCACAGTTGCAAGGCAGGCACACTGCTGAACTAAATCCCAGCCCTTATAATTATTGCTTGAGAATGGAGTCCTAGAAGTGGAATTCCTGGGCCAAAGGTTTTAAATATTGCTACATTATCTTCAAGAAATAGACCCATTCCTCAACACTATGTTAAGGATTTTTTTTTTTTCAGTTTTGCTTATCTGCTTTTTTAGACAGGGTCAAGGTAGTAGATCATGTTTGTCTTGAACTGTGTGGTCTAGGAGGGCTTCAAACTCATTAGCCTCTTATCTTAGCCTCCTGGGTGCTGGGATGAAAGCATGTGCCACCATATCGGGCTACATTTAGAATTTTTATTTAAAAAACAAAAAATCAGGTAAAACTGATATATTGTCTTCATACTACTTACTTTTTTTTTTTTCATTTTTATCGGTACCAGGGATCAAACTCACAACTACCTGCTTGCAAGGAAGGCACTTATGCCACTGAGCTAAATCCTCAGCCCCCTACTTACTTTGATGAAGTTATTTTGTTTATTCATTTACTTGTTTATTGACTACCTACTGCCCTTCAAATGTGAGTTCCAGGAAGCTAGAGTTTTGTTCATTGGCCTCCATGTTCTCAGCTTCTTTGCCTGCCTCTTTTTCCTAGATGTACCCACCTCTTCTCAAGTGCTTTTCAGATTTCTCAGGGAGAATGTCTCTAAGCACCCTGTTAAGAGTTGCACCTGTCCCTTTCCTTTCTCTGTATTTCTCTGTAATACTTAAACATTTCAATCAACATTCACTGAACTCAGAATATTTTTTCTTTCACCAGAATGAAGTCTATGAGAGCTTTTAATGTGATTCTCAGTGTTTAGTGTAATACTTGATTCAAGAGATGCTCAGTAAATATTTAATATACGTTGAATTAATAAGCCATAGTTATTAAGTCCAAATCAATAAGTAGCTTTTGTTTTTCTGGGACTCTTCTCTTAGTCTGATCATGTAGTAAATATTAAAGTAATTGCTGACGCCCAGGAGAAGTCATTTTCCGTAATTCTGCGATGTAACATTTACTGGGCACTTGGCATGAGCAGTCTCGGTCATAAGATACAGTAATGGCAAGCACAAGGTTGCCATTAGGGTTTTAGCTTTTATTATTACAGTTATCTTTGAGAGGAGGGAATTAGAGTGGGAGAAGTGAATGATTTGCTCCAGATCCTGTGGCAAAGCTGAGTACAGAACCTGCATCCCCGTTCTGCTCTCTGAGCTCGTCCTGTGTTCTTTCGAGTGTTGAACTTTATTACGTCAGCGAAAGCTTTTCAAGCTGCCTCAAGGAAAAAACCTTTCAAAGGCTGACTTAACGTAAGACGGACCCGACCCGGACTGTTTTGCATTTGAATCCTGGATGGCGGGAAGCAGCCTGGCAGGTGTCGGAGGGGCGGGGCGGAGACGCCAGGGCCGCCAGCCAATCAGAGGGCGGGCGCCTCCCTCTCTCCCTCCCAGCCGTCCCGCGCCAAAATTCCAAACGGGACTTCGCGCCGCTCCCTCTGTGTTCCTCCGCCGAGCCCAGCGGGACGGAACTACATAAGGAAAAGGCCGCGTTCTCGCGGCTAGACCCGCTCAACTCCTGGGCTCCATTGGCTTGCTTTCCAGTCCACCGAGGCGTGGCCTTCTTCGCGCCTGGAGGCGGAGGACGGCATCGAGCTCCCGCCTTGGGCGGCGGAGCGGAGCACCGCGCGGCGGAGGGATCCCGGACGCGCGTTGCGGAAGGCGCGCAGTCCGTGGCGCCAGAATTCGGAGCGCGGAAGCGGGAAGCGCGGAGTCGCGGAGTCGCAGGCGCCGAGCCCGGGCTCCCTCGCGCGCGGAGGCGCAGACGCGATGGTGGTTCTCCGCAGCAGCCTGGAGCTGCACAGCGGCTCCACCGCCTCATCCTCAGGCTCCCTGGACCTGTCCAGCGAGTTCCTCAGCTTGGAGCAGATGGGACGGAGGCGGCTCCGCTCGGCGGGCGCGGCAGAGAAAGCCGCAGTCACCGGGGCCGCCAAGAGGGTGAGTACCGGGCCGGTCTAGGGAGGGAGTGGCGGGGGCCAGGGGAAGGGAAGGGTTCCCTGGATCCGGTGACCCGGGGCAGTCCCAGCTCCTGCGCCTAGGGAGCCCAGTAGCTCGCCGGAGCGCGGCCGTGGCCGGGCGGGGTTCGGGGTGCCGGACCGCCCGCCTCGTCCCGGATTCTTTGCCAACTGAGTGCTACCGCGCGCCCCTGGCTGACCGCTGGCTATGTGCGTGGTCTGCTGGGTACCTGCCGCGGGGACAGACTGTAAGTCGGGCTCCCGACCTGTCGCTATGGTCCAGAATGGTTCAGTACTGTATCGCAGTGAATCACCGGGTTGCATAATGTGTAGGGCCGAGGACCAGTGTCCGTGCACACTTTTCACTTGAGCCTTTTGAGAATACTTAGTGATAGCATGTGTGATGGAATAAACACTAAAAAAAGTAATCGGTAAACAGTAGATATAAAATTGGAACGTAGATTTTTCTGTCTCTCAGACATCCTGCCCTGTTAAATCGTGCTGCAGGCAGTTACAGTGACGATGGTGGAGGTTTGTGAGAGGCTGAACCTTGCAGGAAGTGCTCGGGTACACGTGGGATTTTTGATGGACAGTTCAGGCTGCGAGAGGACATGCTCACTCGCCTCGCCCCCCTAGCAGTTTATGGAGCCTTGGGTGGACGGACAGCTTTCATAGAGGTTGCCGAAGCTGAGGAAGCAACGTTCAGCAGCAGATAGATAGTATAGTTCAGTTGGAGTGAGGGTAGGTTTTGAATAGGATAGGGAATTGAAGACAAGCATTAGAAACTAAAGGGGAGGCGCGTGGTGTGACAGACAGTACATAGTCCTCTGGTTCAGTTAGACTTGTGTTAAGATCACTAGATGAAATTAGTGTCATTTGTTGAAAGACCATGTTGGTTGCTCCTCCTCCAGAAGGAATATGTTGGAAAACTAGTTCCCTCCATCTCAGAAATTATGATTCTGAATTGAAAAGATAAGTAATTTTCTGACTTTCAAGGCTTGTTTCTCACGAGGGATGGTAGTACACGCCTGTAATCCCAGTACTCAGGAGGATCTTCATGAGTTTGAGGCCAGCGTGAGCTACGTTAGGGAGTTCAAGGTCAGCCTATATTGCATAACAATGAGACTGCCTCAAAAGAAAAAAAAGACTTTCTTAGTCGCATGCTGGAAATGGCAGAGATTGGAAAGGCTACACATTTCTGTGCTGAACTCACGTCCCATTTGACCCATTAACCTGTGAGCAGAAAAGCTAATTATTCCATAGGTATTTATTGAATTTTTTGAGGGTAATGCTAGATTCTATAACCATGGGATGCATTGAATACTGGTTAAGTACATAGACTATTGAGATGACTAATAGTTGAGATTCTCATCTTACCAAGTTTACCAACAGTCAACAGCTTTCTCTTCCTGTTAAGAGGCCACACCTACCATATAGGTAGGGTGGATTAAATGTGATCATGCGTGTAAGATTAACAGTTACTTTTAATTAGGTTCAAAATTGATTTTAATTAATGGCCACTCTTACCTTTCCTCAAATCAGATTTACCCTCGACACCTGTCATACCCAGGATATTAGCAAATTCTGTTGGCTCTGTTTTTAAAACATATTCAGAGTCCACCCACTTATGTTCTCCACTGTTGCCTTATCTCTTGCCTAGGTTATTAAAATAAATTTTTGATTAACCTCCTTTTGTATCACTACGTGTATATAGTGTGCTTCTCCTCCAATAGTCGATTTTTAATGCAGTGATTCTTTTAAAAAATCAATGCAGTTGATCACTTCTCTACTCAAAAACTCTAGCGACCCCCAGCTGAAAGTTTGAAAGCAGCCCCCAGCCTCTTGTCAGCTTCCTTTATCACTATAATGATACCTGTCTGTTGACAAACACTCCCTTTCTGGCCACTGGTTTAGCTGCCCCTCCCAGTACCAAGACCTTTATGCTTGTTCTAGCTCTGTCCCTAATGCTCTTTCCTGATTTCTACATGACACATTCCTTTTGCCAGATTTTATTTTGTTTTATTTTATTTTATTTTGGTCTTTTTTGAGGTAGGGGCTTGTGTGGTTCAGGCTGGCCTTGAACTTGCATGGACCCTCCTGCCTCAGCCTCCCCAGTGCTGAAATTAGAGGCAAGTGCCACAAAGCCCGGCTTGCAAGATTTTATATTTTCAAACAGAAAGCAAGCCAGAAAAGCCTTAAGTCACAGTGCTTAATGTTACAAGAATTGTACAAATAGTGCCCCAATCCTCTAATCTTGTAAAATAGGCTTGGGTTGGGTTTTTGGATAAGAAAACTGAGTCACTGAAACTTAAATAACAGCCAAAGTCATCTTGGAACTGTGGAACTCTGCTTCAGATTTAGAAATAGTCTGTTTTAGGTGTTTGCTAAAATTTCACTTCAGTGAATCTGTCCTTAACACCTATTTATTCAGAGCCACAAATGACTCCCTTTGATGTAACTTTTTACCCTGCTTTATGTTCTCCTAGCTCCTAAGACCTTACAGCAGTATATTCTATGGCTTCCTATTTTTAAATATTTTTATCTCTCCCCAAATTAGAATGAAACTAAATCGGGTCTTGGAATTTTACTTTTTGTTGAGAGGTGTGTTCCCATCATCTAGAACAGAGCCTGGTGTGTTGTATACTAGATAGGTAATTCTTTTCACTCAAAATTTAGATGTGGTGTGGTGTGCATGCCTATAATCCTAGAAGAGACCTGAGGCACAGTGTGCAGAGATTTTGTTGTAAACGCTATAGGGTAGTTGAGCAGTTAGAATGCACTCAGCTGCGTGTTGTGGGGTGAAGATTTTTTTCTGTGCTAGAGTTTTCAGTACAGACCAATGATGATGAACCTTTTAGAGTTTCAGTGATAATAAGTAGCTGGTTGTGGTGCATGTGCCAGAGGTTCGCCACTACCAGTGTAGACTACATGCGCCTGTTTTGTTTTGAGACAGAGCGTTGCTCTGTAGTTCAGGTTGGCCTTGGATTCAGTCTCCCTGCCTCCTGCTCTCAAGGACAAGATTTCCAGGCATGTACCACCATGCTTGGCTTGGATTATACTTTTCTGAGACAAGGTGATCGCTTCTATAAATCAAGGAACCAAGGTAGACAAAATGAGAATCAGAGGTCATTTAGCGAATTGACATAAAAGAAATCCAATCTTGAGGGTGATAATATTTGCAAACTCACCAATACCAAAAAAGGGAGCATACCTTTGTGGTCAGACATTTTCCTAGTTTGGAGGTTTTACATTCATTACATTGGTTGTTCAAAAACAGGAAGGGTAGATTTACTTCCTGCCACAGAGGTGAACTTAGACCTTTGGGAAGATTAAGCCGGGAGTTCATGAGCGATCAGGACTTCATATCAAGAAAGAATAGAAAACAGCAGAACAAAAAAAAAATGAGAGGAAGCTTGGAGCATTTTAAAAGTGAAAAGAGGTTGAGTCCTAAGCCTGCAAGTTCTGCAAATCAGGGGAGGGGCCCCAGAGCTAGGCTGCTGCTCATGTGTTTGTAACCTTGCTCAGAGCTTCTTCGCTGTGCTTGGCACAGCAAGCAGCCATCCTGCACCAGGATATTTACCATGCAGGCTTCCAAAGAGCCTCAAGTTTGGATGAGTAAATTTTCTAAGTCAGTATTATAACTGATTTTTAAAATACTACTTAAGCCTTATTGATTTACCTTTTTTTTTTTTTTAAAGATAGGATTCTTGTTCTATAATTCAGAATGGCTTTAGGCAGTCCAGCTGCCTCTGCCTCCAGAGTGCCAGATTATGGCCCACCATGCCCAGCTTTGCATTGACATTTAAACTAACTCAACCAACTAATCACTCCCTTTGCGCCCTCTAACTGCTTTGTTTTTGTTTTTGAGACAAGATTTCACTATGTAATCCAGGCTGGCCTTGAATTTAAAAAGATCCTCCTGCCTCTGCCTCCTCAAACTTTTATTTATGAATTTAAAGCTTTAGCAAGGCTGACCTTTTGTGGGAAAATGATGCAGTGTTTCTGTTCTGCAGTTGTGTCTACTGTGAGAGAGGTTCTGTTTGTCCTTCTGTTATTGCCTGCTCCCTGTGACTTACCAACACTGAGATCATGACAGGCTCAAACATTTAATAAAATGTAATTTTCTCCTTGCTCAAAATGTCATTGCCCTCCCTCTACCCCCAGTACTAGGAATTGAACCTCGGGCCTTTGCCCTGGGCCACGTTCCCAGCTCTTCATTTTATTTTGAGACAGTCTTACTGAGTCCCTAAATTGCCCAGGCTGGGCTTGAGTTTGCAGTGCTCCTGCCTCAGTTTTGCAGGTAGCTGGGATGTAGGCTGTGCCTCTACAGCTGGGAAACTTCACTTTTTTTTTTTTTTTGGAAACTTCACTTTTAAAGAACTCAGTCCTCACAACATTTAAGTAGATTGAAGCAAAGGATAACTGATGTTGCATTTCAAGGTCTAGCAGATTGTTTTCTCTTTGTTTCTACTTAGGATTTTTTTCTAGTGGTACATGCAGTAAAATAAAAAACAGAAAGTGGAAGTTCACAACTATGTCATCCAGTGTTAAGAATTAACAGTTGACTTTTAACCTATCTCTTGGGAATTGATTTGATTAGAATATTGAGCTATGTCTGATTTATTAACTGCCAGTTTTCCTTAGAAGATAAGATATATACAAGATAATTCATCTAGATGTATTTATAACATCAAAAATTGCAGATAATAAATTAAGCAGTTTGGGTTTTTTAAACATTTTTAATTGACATGGGTTGTACATACTTGGTTCAGTGTGACATTTCACTGTATATTCAAAATGTAGAGATCAGATCCATTTAATTGGCACATATGTCACTTCAGACATTTCATCTCTTGGTGTGGAATGTTCAGACTTTTCCATGCATCTCCAACTCTTATTTTTAGACAGTCTCACTAAATTGCCACATTACCCAGATAGGGTTCGATTGACTTCGTAGTCCTCCTGCATCAGGCTCCCAGAGTGCTGGAATTACAAGTGTGCTACACCATTCTTGATTCAGTTATTGTTTGAAACCAGCGTCTCTGTTTTCCTGAGACAGGGTCTCACTGTGTTGCTCAGACTGGCCTCCTAAGCACTGGGGTTCCAAAGTTGTGACACGGGATTACAGGATATGATGCCCACTAAACTAGTTATCTTTAAAACATTTTTATTAGTCCATGGTTGCTGCCATGTTTGTACTCATCGTGGGGGGTTGGTGCCTGTACAGAGCATCTTTTGTTTACTTTCTCCTGGACTCCTTCCTCCTTCATCTGCACTCTCCTTCCCATTTGCAAACTCTCTGTCTCCCTGATTCTTATCCTCTGTGTTTTGCTCTTTAAATTATTTATACTTGGGGTTTCTCACAGGAAAGAAACCATGTGGTGCTTGACCGTGTGTGTTTGGGTTATTTTACTTAACATTATTGTGTCGAGATGCTTGTATTTTCCTACAAATGACTCAGATTAAACCCTAGTTATCTAACTGTGTTATGGAACATCAAATTTGTTCTTCATAGTTAACTGCACTCCCAGTCCCCAAACTGTTAAATAGATTCCATCAAATGACTGACACCCTTCACTTTAAAATATTTTAGAATATTTAATGAGATGGAAAAATGTGTTACTGAGAAGTTAACAAACATGTATACTCTCAGTTTTAAAATCATGTGCTTATACAGTGCATGCTTGTAACAATCTGCACAAGGAGAAAAAAAGAGTATATATTTGCAAGAAAAGGAGTGATTTATTTAGTAAAAAGTTATCAGTGTATGGTTAAATTTGAGGGAAACTTTCATCTTTGTGCATTTCTTGTCCAATAGTAATGAGCTATAGGTTTTGTTTTGTTTTGTTTTTGATGATGCTGCAGATCAAACCCAGGGTAGGCAAATGCTCTACCAAAAGGTGCTCTGTACAGGCACCACTCTGTACATTTCTCCAGTCTTAAAGTGTATTTTTGAAAGTTATTTAGAAGCAAGGCATTCTTTTATGCACTTAAAAATTAATTCTTCCAGGTTTCTCATTGACTTTTTCCTCCTAGTATAGTTGCCCCCTTTCTCTTTTGTAATTTTCTGGAATATGATAGGTTTACTTTCTTACAGCAAAATACAGATAATATAAAATGTACCATTTCTTTTTTCTTTTTTTTTTTTTTTTTTTTCATTTTTATTGGTACCAGGGATGGAACTCACGAGTGCCTGCTTGCAAGGCAGGCGCTTATGCCGCTGAGCTAAATCCCCAGCCTCCAAAAATGTACCATTTCTAAGCGTACAGTTCTGTTACATTAAGCACATTCATTTTCTGTAACCATCATCACTATCTGTGTCTGGAATCTTTGCATATTTCAGAATATTAAACTCCTTGTTTTCCCCTTTCCCTAATCCTGGCAACTATGTTCTGCTCTTTTTGAATTTTTCTACTCTTTAAGACCATGTAGAAGAAACATTATTCATCCTTTTGTATTTTGTTATTTTATTTTAATGTCTTCAAAGGTAATTCATGCTGAGAATAGTGGGGTGTGCCTATAATCCTAGCATTTGGAGACTGAGGCCGGAGGATTGTGAGTCAAGGCCAAAATGAACTACATAGCAATACCTTGTCTAAAAAACATGCAGAAACAAAATATATGTTAGAGCATGTGTTAAAATTTTAAAGTCAGTAATATTCCGTTGTATATACCACATTTGGTTTATCCATTCTTCTGTTACTGAACCTTGGATTCCTGTTTTGACTGTTGAGAATGTGTGTGTCCAAGTTTCTGTTCAAGTCTGAGTTCCATCGATTTGAGAATGCTCTTTTTACCACTAAAAACAGTCTTGTGCTTCAATTCTACTGTTTTTAGAAACGTAAGCGTACTTCATATACATAAATTGATAATAATGAAAGTTTTGTTGATTGGTGCCAGTAAGGCTGTGGCAAATCATTTGCCAAAAAAATATTTTTAATACTCAGCTTTATTAGGTCTCCTTTCACTTGTGCTGAAAACAAGAATTAGAAACCATTTATCAAGTGAAAGAATTTGTCACATACATTAGTTTCCTAATGCCTTAGGTCAGTATTTTTCTTGAGCTTTATGATGGTTTTCAGTGCTTTGAGGAGTCTGAATAGATGAAAGAGGAGAAGGCAAATGAATGAGACTCGTCAGTCCTGCTCTGGCAGATGAGTTCTGTTTTGTTTTGTTTTGTTTTTTGTCTTTTTCCTTTTTATTGGTACCAGGGATCGAACTCACGACTGCCTGCTTGCAAGGCAGGCGATTATGCCGCTGAGCTAAATCTCCAGCCCCGGCAGATGAGTTCTTAAGAAAAAGCTTTTAGGGAAGCTGAGAATCTAGAATTAGATTCCTTTAAAACATTCCATAGAAAGTCTTACTGTTACGCTTCTGATCTAAGATGTAGGTGTTCTTTTTTCAAATATCATTTAATGTTTCCGAAATGCTCATCTAGTTTTTAGACAGATCCTTATTTTTTATTTTATTTATTTATTTTTTTTGAGACGGGGTCTCACTATGCAATTCAGGCTGGCCTGGAGCTCACTTTGTTAGCCCAGGCTGGTCTCAGGATCCTTCCACCTCAGCCTCCCAAGTGCTGGGATTACAGGCGTGAGCCACCACGCCCGGCGCAAGATCCTTATTTTTTTTTTAAAAAATCTTTATTTTACTGCAAACCAACCAAATGTTCTTTCCAAAACAAAATTAAATGACAAAGTAAAGGTAGTGGGGAGAGTGAACTCACGACCTAAAAAATACTTGCCTTTTTTGTTTTTGTTTTTTTTTTTTGGAGACAGAGTCTTGCTCTGCAGTTCAGGCTAGCCTTGAGCTCACTTTGTAGCCCAGACTGGTCTCAAACTCACGATCTTCCTGTCTCAGCCACCTGAGTGCTGGGATCACACTGGCTTAAAATACTTTTAAAAATCAGTGGAAAACTTTGCTCTCTGGAGGACTTGTTGTGAAATAGACCTATGGACCATCAGTAAATCTTATATTAGCTCTTCGTAGCCATTGCTGATAACTTACTTTGAAATGAGATGTCACCTAATGTTTCTTGAAAAGATGCAAAATGATTCTGCATTAAAAGCAGTTTTTACTGCAACCAGAAAAAACTTTTAGGAGTATAAATTGGGGGTTTGACTAAAAGACTTGATAGCTCTCTTAATTTTTTTTAAAGGATGGATCTTCAGTTAAGGAAGTTGAGACAAATCACCGGACATGTTCGTTGAGGCCCTTGAGGAAATGTACACAGACTTCTTCAGATTCTAGTTTCAATAAGGAAATGGAGAGACATGCTAATGGCAGGCACTTTACAAGGTAACACAAGATTGTGGGCCAGTCAATTCAGAGTGTTCTAAACCAGGGATTTGCATTTCATTCTTGAAGTGTATTTTTGGCTCGTTATCAAGATTTTGGTGCTGTAAATGTAATTTATTTGAAATGAAATTGTCACAAATGAATATTGTCAAATTAAAACGAAGTGTTTCTGTACAGGTTTGTCTTTATTTTCTTATTCAAAGCAGTGTGTGAGGGGAGCTGATGCATGGTTCTGCTTCATACTCTGCACATAGTCTGTTTCATTTAAATTTCATTTCTATTTCTGATGGCTTGCTTTCAGATTTTTCCTCATTTCTGAGTCATTTGTAAATTTCTGTATATTCATGTGATTCTAAAGTAGTCCTTACAAAGGAGACAGAATATGTAATTTTATTTATTTATTTATTTATTTGTACTGAGGATTGAACTCACGACCTAGCACTTGTAAGGCAGGCACTTATGCCACTGAGCTAAATCTCTGGCTCAGAATATGTGATTTTCTTTAAAAGAAATTTTGGGAGCAGTTTTAAAAATCAATTTATTGGGGCTGGGGATCTAGCTCAGTGGCATAAGTACCTGCCTGGTGAGCATGAGGTCATGAGTTTGATCCCCAGTACCAAAAAAATTTTTTTTTTATTTATTAGGATTAGGCTTTTTAATACATATTTAACTAGCAGCTAGTACAGACAGGCCCCAAGGACTGATGCAGTTTGGAAAGTGTGGTTTCCTTCATTTGTCACATTGCTTGCTCAGCCTCTCTGCAGTCTCCTGCCACATGGCGTACTTAGCCCAGCATGCACAGAGGCATGCTCGCTCTGCACAGAAGTACAGTATGTCCAGTCCTAGCAGCCCGAGGGCAGTGAACGCAGCATAACTTGTTTTCCTATGTCGAAGCACTAAGTGTTTATAGTTTTTACTGTTTTTAAGTCTAGTCACGAAGATACCATCTATCCTGGGCAACAGTTGGAACAGGAAGATCCATTTTTCCTGTCTCTGTGAGTTGTGCTCCATTAGATTTTTTAGTCTGTTGCCTCTGATTTGCTAATGCCAAAATTGGAAAAGAAAGAATCAAGACAAGTAAGTTAGCTGTTGTCTCAGCCTCAATTGATGAATTTGTCCCCAGGTCAGGGTTACTCTCCTGGATTTTAGCTGAACTTAGATGAGATGCTAGGATCATCTCAAGAAGAATGCGGGTTTAGTACATTTATGCCTAACAAGCCAGCTAGAGAGGGTGTGATGCTGAGATCACCTGCACAGTGCAGAAATAGATGCTGGTGCAGAGGTAAAGAAGGCTAACCCGACCAAACCCGCCTCGTCATGCCCAGGAGAGCTGTTGTGAAGCTGTGTATTGAAGGCACTTAAAGAATATTACCAGTGACAGTCGGTACAGCTCAGTGGGACTTCATGATGAACTGAAAAAGAAAAACTTAATTTATGTAGACACTTTGAAAACAATTAAGAGGGCTATACTACCTGAATTTTTACCAAATAGAAAACAAATTGTTGAGCCGGCGTGGTGGCTCACGCCTGTAATCCCAACACTCGGGAGGCTGAGGTGGGAGGATCCTTGTGAGTTTGAGACCAGTCTGGGCTACAAAGTGAGCTCAAGGCCAGCCTGAACTGCATAGCGAGACCTGTCTCAAAAAAGACAAAAAGAAAGAAAGAGAACAGATTATTTAGGGATCAGTATTTGGATTTTCTGCTGTCAGCACATTAGTTTTGTATGTGCTGAAAAGAGGTAAAAGTGTCATGTGAGTGTCAAGTACGCAGCACAGCACTTCTGTGGACACTTCAGGTGGGAAATGTGCATTGCACCTACCTGGTACAGTCCAGGAGAACTCGCCGTTGGCCAGAAGCAGTTTTTATGCCATTTTAAATATCAGGTTGCCAGGGATTTAGCTTAGGGGCTTAACTACCTCTGGCAATGTGAGGTTATGAGTTCCATCCCTGGCACCATAAATAAATGAATATTGAGGATGTTAACTCCCCATATTGTACCAGTTTGTACAGTGAGGTAAAATAATAAAACGTTTTGATTTTATTAAACCCTGGTGTATAGTTAACTGAAGAAAATCTATATTCTAGAATGGCTACTAAAAAAATGCCTTAAAAGTAGGAAAACTCATAGCAGCAGTGCTGAGACTGAAGATTCCTGTTGCTGGAGAATACAGACAGCCTCAGGACAGAAGCAGCAGCAAAGAGGCACCCTGCTCCCCGCAGCAGGGAGAGAAGACCTGCTGCCATGCAGTGCTTGTAAAATGCCCGTTTGTACTCGGTGCTATGATAAACTTTGTCTAATGTATTTTGAAAATTAATGTTTTGTTACAAGTAATATATAGTGTGTTTACAAATAAAAATTTAGTATAAATTTTTTTACTTTTTTTTTTTTTTGTCTTTTTCCTTTTTATCGGTACCGGGGATTGAACTCACGACTGCTGGCTTGCAAGGCAGGCGCTTATGCCGCTGAGCTAAACCTCCAGCCCCTAATTTTTTTACTTTTATAAAGAATTAAAAGCACCACAAGTAGTATATGTGAAACTCAAGTGAGCCTCCAGTAGCAGCAGACTATGTTTCTGTGAAACAGCTGAGGAAGGTGGCATAAATTCCATTTGGACACTGAAGGAATCGATGTCAGTGGATTGTGTAGTTCAGTTAAATTCATGGAAATGGAGTTTGGTTCAAATCTAAGTTTAGCTTAAAACCTTCACTATTTTAAACAATTTTGTGAATTAACATAAGGGAGATTGCACCATTGAAGTAAAATTTGTTTGATGAAATACTTTTTATACTGTCTCCTCGTAAATAAATTTTGCTTAGTGACCCAGAAAACTCGAATCCTTCTATTCAAATAGAATTGTCATTCTTATTGTGTGTAGTATATTTTCAAGATAAGGTACTTTGTTTGGCTGGGGGTTTTTTTGTGTGTTTTTTGTACCTGGAATTGAACTCAGGACCTCGCTTGCACTTGCCAGGCAGGTGCTGTACCTCTGAGCTGCATCCTTGGCCCAAGGTTATCTTTTACTGTTTCTAAGCTTTTGTTAGTTTTCCAACTGGAAAACATTTTAATCATTCCTAAATACTTCTAACTTTGCATACTTTGTACATTATTTGTGGGATGTTTACTGCTATATTTCATGGAATCTACTTTGTCAGCCTAACACTGACATTTAAACTGTGATAATGCCATCAGTGTGAAACATTTCAATTTCTGAGGTATTAAACTGAAATGCAGTGCAGTTACAATAGTTTTTGTTTTTATTTTTGAGAGAGGATCTCACTGTGTAGTTCAGAATGGCTTTAAGTTCACTGTGTAGCCGAGGTTTGCCTTGAACTCACAGTGGTCTTCCTACCTCAGCCTCTTGAGGGCAGGAATTAAAGATGTGTGCCCCATGCTCTGCTGATTCGGTATTTTTAATCAAATCCCTCTTAAATACATTGAATTCCATTATTTTTTATAATATACTTCCTATACCATAAGATTGATGGTTTTGAAGTATAAAATTCATTCTAATGCATTAACAGTGTTGTGATGATCACCCTCTAATTTCACAGCAGTATTACAAACTCAGAAAGAAACTTTGTGTCCCTTGACTTTCATAGCTGCTGCCCCCACCTGGCTGTTCCTCCCCTTGGCAGTCCTGAATCTCCTCTCATCCGAATAGATTGAGGACTACAGACACTTTACATAAACAAAGTCCTGTCTGGTCTTATTGTCTGGCGCTTTTCACTTGATGTTTTCGGAGTTTGTCCATGTGCTGTCTGCTATGCTTCGCTTTTCGCTGCTGCGTAAGAGCCTGTCATATCGATGGGCCATGATTTGTTTATTCGCAGCAGTTTGTGGGTACTGGCTTGCTTCCCTTTCTCTGCTGTTGTGAATAATGGTATGAACTGCAGTATACTGGGAGTAGAATGGCATGGCCGTTGGCAACACCAGCGTTTTAATGAGCAGCCATCCTGGGTTATATTCCCACCAGCATCGAATGAGGGTTACAATTTCTCTAAGTTCTTGCTATCACCTGGCGCTCTTTGTGGTGTCAGCCATTAGTGGGTATAGAATATCCCACTGTGGTTCTAGTTTATGTTTTCCTAATGGCTAATATTACTGGATTATCTTTTTATTTGCTTATGGGTCATTTGTATGTCTTCTGTGAGAAGAATTCATACATAAAAATCATTTCCCTATATTATTATTATAAATACTGTATATTATTTTATATGGTGGTAACATCAGGAAATGTTTGTCTAAGACATATATCAAATGGCTTAACTGTATTTTTGAATTCTACTTTTTTTGTTTGTTTCTTTCTTTGGTACCAGGAATTGAACTCACCACCTTGTGCTTGCCAGGCAGGCACTTACTTTTTCTCTTCCTTATTAATACTGCCAGTATGCTTTATCATAGTTATCCTTTGTTGCTTCTTTTCTCCCTCTGTTTTTCATTTGTTGTATGGGCCTCAAAGACCAGAGTCAGCATTAAGTAAGTACATAAAGTTTTGAGTAACTATACCATGAAGGTGGAAACTACACATTTCTTTTATCCTGGATTTTTTTTTATTTTTTTAATTTTTTTATTTTTTTGGTCTTTTTCTTTTTTATCCGTACCGACTCACGACCGCCTGCTTGCAAGGCAGGTGCTTATGCCACTGAGCTAAATCCCCAGCCCCCTATCCTGGGGTTTTTAACTAGGGTCCAGTGATTATGGATGATCTTCCGGAGTACATGAAACTTGAGCTGTAATGTTTTATCTCTCTCTTTTTTTTTTTTTTTCGTCTTTTTTCCTTTTTATCGGTACCAGGGATCGAACTCACGACTGCCAGCTTGCAAGGCAGGCGCTTATGCCGTTGAGCTAAATCCCCAGCCCCGAACTATAATGTTTAAATGTGTGTGGGTGTACAGTTTTCTAGGGAATAAAGGTCCATGGCTTTCATCAGACAGGCAGGGGTTAACAAAGTCTGCTTACCTGTTTTTGTAAATAATTTCTTTAGAATATAGCCATGCCAAATCATCTTATATGTGGCTAATTTCATGCTCTGATGTCAAGTAGATATGACAGAGACTGTATAACTCACAAGCCTATAAAGTATTTCCTATCTAGCTAAATAAAGTTTACCAACCCCTATAATGATAAAAGCACTTACAAAGAGGGGGAAAGAGTAAAAGAAAAAATTACTGATTTTAATCAGTACGTTCATAACATCCTACCTCTTCTATGGTGTAGAGGGAGGAGATCCTTTAGAAGGAAAGTCTGTAAGAGTATGAATGAACTTTGATGGGCAGATCAAGTTTTTAGTTTTTGTCTTTTCACTGGATTCTAGAGGGAAGCCATCGATGATCACTTATACTGTTATGACAATATATGAATTAACTCGGATAAGATTTCAGGTTTTGGTTTTGGTTTTGTCTTTTTGAGGCAAGGTCTCACTATGCAGTTCAGGCTGGCATTGAGCTCACTTTGTAACCCAGGCTGGTCTTGAACTTGCAACAATCCTCCTGCCTCAGCCTACTGAGTGGTGGGATTACAGGTATGAACCACCACGCCATGCTGATTTAATTTTAAAGTCTAATATTTAAAAGTCCACATGCATAAACTAGCCTACTTGCAAATGGCATGGTATTTAACAGATAACGACAGCCTGAGTATGGGAAATTGTTAGCAAAAATAAGTTAATGAAACATACTGTTTTGTTTGATCAGTGGGTTTTTGAAAAAAGGTGAATAAAGGATACTTTTTTCAAGACTTGGAAAGCATTTTTTGCATTTTAATAGATTCTGTCTGCCAGATTGTAGTTGAAATATCTAATTCATGTATGGAACCATTTCTACCTGTGAATGACAATCATGGATATTGTATGAAGATTGTTGCCAGCAGATGTTCTCAGGAGACAATATATCACTCATATACATTACTTCTAATAATAGTTATAAATTCTCAAAGTTATGAGACCACTGTATCCCAGTGTTGTGTAAAATACATTGTATTGGTTATGTGCAATGCTTAGTTCAACTATATTCAGATATTTAGGCAAAGGGTTTCATTTCTTCAAAGAAAGATACTTTGATTAATTCTATTCATATACCAATAAATTTGGTTTGGTTTGATTTGGTTTTATGTTAGGTTCTTGCTTCGTACTCTAGGCTGGCCTTGAGCTCACTGTAGCCCAGGCCTTAAACTTACGATCCTTGTGTCTTAGCCTCCCAAGTGCTGGGGTTACACACATGTGCCACCACACCTGGCTTTTATATCACTGAATTTCAAAACAGAATCTTAAACTTTTTTACCCATTACCAATGAGCATGAATCTTTTTAAGATTTTTTTTTTTTTCAGCTGAGTTGGGGTTTTAAGTATCTGAATATTTACCATTTAAATTGATTTAACATTTTGTCTTAGTTTGTAGTAATATATCAGATTTAAAGTTATGCCAATTTATATTGAATTGTTTAATATTTTTTGTTCATATAGACAGTTGGCCAGACAACACGCTGATAAAAAAACAGAAGAGTGCAAAGAAGGTAAGTAACATTGATGGCATTGCAGTTCTTTTGTCGTTGGTTTTTTAATTTATTTATCTTGGTGGTGATGGAGATTGAACCCAGGGCCTTGTATGCTGGGCAGGCACTCTATCACTGAGCTAGATCCTTGCCCTGCATTTCAAATTTTTTATGTTTGTTTATTGGTGCTGGGGATTGAACTCACAACCTTGCACTTATCAGATAAGCACTTAAGGTACTGAGCTAAATACCCAACCCAAATGTACTTTTTTTTTTTTTTTTTTTTTTTGGTGCCAGGGATGACCTCACGCTTGGCAGTCAGGCGCTTATGCCACTGAGCTAAGTCCCTCTCCCCCGCTTTTCTTTTTACGTACTGGGGATCGAACTCATGTACTTGCACTTGCCAGGCAGGCACTTAAGCTGCTGTGCTAAATTCCTGGCCCTGCATTTCAAAATTTTAAGAATATATTTAATGTTGTATTTGCAGATTTGAGGAACTTAAGTAGCCTGCATATGTATAGTTCATTATCATGTCATGTAAGTGTGCGCATGAGACCATTACCACATTACCCATCCTCCCAGCTTTCTTGAAGCCCACCATAATCCCTCTTAGTTTTAGATTCTCAAGCAACTGCCAGTCTGCTTTCTCTCACTACAGATTAATTTTCAGTCCCATTTTACCTAAGTAGAATCACACAGCACATGTTCCTTTATTCAGAATAATTGCTTTGAGTCTCTTTCGTTTTGTTTGTTTGTTTGTTTGTTTGTTTGTTTGTTTTGTTGTTGCTGGATAGTATTCCATTATGTGGGTGTAGTACAGTATCTCATCTTTTAATAGGTAAGAGTTGCTTCCAGTTTGGAACGTTAGGAACTGCTTTGAATACTTGTGCACAAATTTATATTAGGTGTCTTCTGCTGGGAGTGGAAGGGCTAGTTCATACAATATAGTTAGGTATATGTTGCAGCTTTAGTTTTTGATTTCTAATGTTTTTAAAAGTTTAAGATAATACAGTTTAGGAAAAAATAGTTACAGGAAAACTATTCCCTTGTTCATTTTCAAGTTGTGTATTTGTGTTACTTTAAATCTTTATTTTATGTACACCTCTCTAAAGACGGAGTGATCACACAGTCATTGAGGACCAGAAACCTCGCTCAGACTGCAAAGCACCTGTGCAGAGAGAACGGCGGTGCGGAGGTGCGTCGCAGCTGCAGGATTAGGAGTCGTTACAGTGCTGTGAATCAGTCTGTGCTATTTGACAAGCTTATAACAAAGTAAGTGAAAAATTCCTAGTTTAGGGTGACTTCAGTGGCAAAACCTTTTGTTGGAGAAGGATCATGAATTTAGACCATCTTGAATATATTTAATACTTTAAGTTCATGTAAAGTATAAAGGAAAGTGGTGGCTTGAAGCCTTTGTAATGATTTTGTGTGTGTGTATACATATGTCTATGAGTGTGTATGTGTAAATTTTAGTAAAGAAATTTTAAAATACTTTTGTATAATTTAATTAGTGCTTCTTATTTTTCTATGTTTTTTTAAGCACTGCTGAAGCTGTACTTCAAAAGATGGATGACATGAAGAAAATGCGTAGACAGCAACTGAGGAAACTTGGAGACTTGAGAGTGTATAAAGAACCAGAAGAGGTAAGTCTTTTCTTAAGAGGATGACTTACCTTTTGGTTTTCTATACTATATCATCTATTTTGTTAAATTATTCATTGCTCTATCCAGCATATGACCAGTCACTGCTGCTGGAGTTTTAAATATATTCATTTTGAGAATTCATTTCACTGAATTATTTGATGAATAAATATTAAATGTTAATGGCTTTTATTTGAACATTTGTAGGGCAGTCTTCATATGTACACAAGGGGAAGACAAAAAGAAATTCAAAGAGCTGATGAAGAAACAACTGATAACCAAGAAGGCAGCGTAGGTTCGTCTTTTCTCTTATTCTCTTTTCTGAATTTCAGTACTTTTTATTCAGTAGAAAATAGTCTTTTTATTCAGGAGCCATGGTATTTATGGTAGTTCATGAGAGTTATAGCATTGGTCATAATTTTGAGGATAAGGGAGAGTTTTAAGGATAATGTGTTTTGTTGGAGAAAGTAAAATCAGTAACTAAAGCAAATATTACTTTGCTGGTATAGTACTTTATAGACAATGCATCATATATCTAAGTAACTTAGATAAGATGATTAAAGTTTTGCTGTTCTGTTTAGGACTTTAGTAATATAACTTTTTAATGAAATCAGTTTTTGGAATGTGTTTTAGACATTTGATGTTTCACTGTTATCCTAAGAATTATTTGACTTGTACTCCATGTAAGTTCAGTGACAACTGGGGGTGGGGGGACGCTAGATCGAATGTCAAACTTAAGTTTAAAGGCAAACTAAGTGGGGAGATGATAAACTTGTCACATTAACTTGGAAATTTTAGTGTATTGGCCTATGTTAATAAAATCCACAGGAACATTGTGAAGTATGGTTTGATGTGCTGATACTGTTTAAATTTTTTTCTGTGCTTACTTTTTTTTTTCTGTTGAATGTTATTTGTTTGTTTTTGGGTGCCAGGGATTGAACTCATGACCTCTTGCTTGCCGGGCAGGCATTTGTGCCACTGAGCTAAATCCCCAGTCCACTGTGGATGCTTTTAGTTCTATAATCTTTTACTCTGTTTTTAAAAAATCTTTATGTGCAAAATAATTACAGGTTCTTTCTGTGAATGATCTTGAAGTAGGTAAATTTTAAAGGATAGTTGGGGCTAGGGATATAGTTTAGCAACACAGCACCTGCCTGGTAAGCACCAGGTCCTGAGTTCAATTCCTGGTACCACAAAAAAGAGTCTTTCTCTGGGATCCTCATGTTAAAAATTAATAGGGAGGACCAGGGATTTAGCTCAGTGGCCAAGTGCCTGCCTGGCAAGCATGAGGTTATGAGTTCCATCTCTGGTACAAATCAGTGAATGAGTGAGTGAATCGATGAACACATTTTCAAGGTCACTTGGATCTGTTTTTCCTAATTACAATCTAATTGGCCCAAATAAATGTGAATTTGTTATTTTGAGGCAAAAATTGTTAACTGTGTTTGGTGACTGTCCTGTACATTTCTTATTGTAGAGTCATCTGAAGAGGGTGAACCCCAGGATGAAGACGATGGTGAAGATGATGATGGTGCAGATGAAGATGATGGTGATGGTGAAGAGGAAGAGGATGATGGTGAAGAAGATGACGACGACGATGATGATGAAGAAGAAGAAGATGGAGAAGAAGATAATCAGAAACGCTATTATCTTAGACAGAGAAAAGCGGCTGTTTACTACCAGGCTCCATTGGAAAGTAAGTGATGGAGTATAGACTTTTTGCAGAAGATATTTATATTACGTTTTTTCCTACTGGCCAGCCTTTGTTGTGTTTTCTTGTTTGTTTATTTATTTTGTTTTGTTTTTTGTCTTTTTGAGAAAGGGTCTCACTGCAGTTTAGGCTGGCCTTAAACTTGCCGCGGTCCTCCTGTATCAGTCTTCCAAGTGCTGGATGGATAAGGGTGCACTACCACGTCCTTTGTTCTTTTTCCTTTGTATTTTCCATTTTGCTACATACTGATGATTACAGTCTTATTCTAAATTTGCAAAACTTCATTGTTTCAAAGAAAAGTTGAATATTAGCCTTGAACAAAGCAAATAATTGAGCTGTTCAAAATTTCGAATCTTATTTTAGATGCTTTCTGACTATTTTGTCAGCTTATGTAAGTAGGACTGCTGTTGATTTCTGCTACTGTTGGACCTCAGTAGTTGCGCACATTTATCTCCATGGTTGATAGTCATTGACTGTGCCTCAGCAGATTCATCATAGTTGCTTATGGCCCCTCTGGCTGTTGGTCAGTTGATGTCGTGTGGCATGTTTTCAATAGCAACCTTTTATGTAAGACGCAAACAAAGTATTATGCAGTACATAACTTTGGTTTGCAAGCATGATTTGTTCTAGAAGCATGCACATAATCTAAAGCACTGTACAATAATGAGAAGGGCTGGGGATTTAGCTCAGTAGCACAAGCTCCTGCCTGACAAGCGTGAGGTCATGAGTTCGATCCCCAGTACCACAAAAAGCCCACCAGAAATAATGAGAATTTAGGTGCTTCATTCCACAATCCAGAAGTACTCATGTAAAAATGATAGCACTCTAAGGTAATACAAAATAATAAGAAAAATACAAAATATAAAGAACAAGAAGCATTAGCCTGCACTTATCTTTGAAAACCTTTGTGGCTGGTGTGAGGAAGATGAGAGAAAAGGGTTAATGTATAGGACGACTTTCCCTACCACTGATGAAATCACTGCTGCCTGTTGGCTCAGTGGAATCTCTTGGTCTTGCAACTTTAAGAAGGAACCTATCCAGTGACACTTGGTTTTACCTTCTTTTGAGAATTTCACAGAAGCATGACATTGCTTTATTACTAAACCTGCTCACAAAGCTACAGAAAGAATGGTGCTTTGCTTTTGTTTTGTTTTGTCTTTTGTTTTGTTTTGTGAGACTGGCTCTCTTTAGGTATTTCATGCTGTCCTTGAACATGTAGCCCAGGCTGGCCTCAAATTCAGAGCAGTTGTCCTGCCTCAGCGTCCCAAGTACTGGAATTACAGTCATGCACCACCACACCCAGCCTGATTTTCTACAATATTGTGTGCTATTTCCTACATTTGACATGTCACCCTAATCTCATTTGAAATGAGGATTCTTTCACCTGTTTATCATCATCCTCAGCAGATGAGATTTCTGTCTGATCACTGTTAGAAGACAGTAACCCACAGTCCTGCAGCAATAGAGAACCATTAGCTTGGTTGTGATCTTGTGACGTTTGGTGTCATGTACTGCTTGTGAGGCTTTGCTTGTCCATTAGGTTAAAGTTGTTTGTCTCCTGAGGAGCCCTCACAGAACAAGTGACCATAGATGTTTTTAACACAATAAAACCTTGGCCTGCAAGCATAATTCGTTCTTTTACAGAAGACAGCTGCTTCGTAGATACTTAATGAAGAGAAGAATCATCTTTATATATATTTCTGCTACGTATTTCTTTTATAGAACCTCGCCACCAGAGAAAACCCAACATATTTTACCAAGGCCCAGCTTCTCCTGCCAGACCAAGATATCGACTGTCTTCTACGGGACCAAGAAGCCCCTATTGCAAAAGAATGAACAGGTTTGGTTGTGAAGTAGTGATCATTTTTTGTTAACAATTGTGGATTTGTAAGGATGGATTCTAGAATCTTTGGATAGAGCATGTTGGGATAGAGTGCTGAAACTGCTTGGGTGGGAGAGCTTCACCCTACGCCATGAGTGCTCTAAGGTGCAGTACTACCGACTAGTTTGCGCTTTTGTCCCATAAATAGGAAGTGCTAGTGGGTACTTGCTGAGGTGGTTTGTTCCACTGTCCCATGCTTGAGTAACAGAGCTGCTGCTGACTCACTGTTTACTGTACTCCTGGTTCTCTGCTAAACGTTCACATGGATCATCCAGAGCACAGGTTTAGTCTTCCTCCATGTACTGCTGTCAGCGTGTTTTCCACCCTATCCAGTACTCTTGAGTTACACAGCTGAAGTGAAGGAAGTAGCCTGTGATAATTCCTCGTTCTTTTCAGTAATGCAAGGTTTTCTGGTGCATGGAGACAGCATTCAGGGCTATGGCCGCATTATGATGCTGCACAGAGAAGAGTGAAGACTGAAAGGGCGGTGGGCAGCCACAGCAGTGTGAGAATAGTACTTTTTCTCTCGTATTCATGTGCTCAGAAGCAAGGCTGAGGTCCTTGCAGACAGCAGCTTTCCTATAGTTCTGGGAAGTTTACTCAAAGAAGTAAACAGTCATTATGTTTTGGTCATGGAAAGCAACACCTTTTTAAGTACTAAGATTTGTTGCTTTTAGTAAACATAAGTAATATTCTCTGTCCCTGAGCCTTTCCATTTCATTATAAGAATCACAAGTGGATATTGTAGTTTGTTTTTGTTAGTTTAATTGTGTTTTGTGTTTATTTTTGGTTTTTTCACTTTGTCCCTTTTCATCTGACAGGATAGAGATTCAGGAGAGTAAACTCAAACTTATGGGGGATTGTACTTCAAAGAAGGCTTGGTTGCCGGTATTCTCAGGGGCCTGGTAGAGGACTGCTGAAGAGCTCGGTCTCTGTAGGCAATAGAAGAACCTTTCAAAAGGAGAAGGAGCTGCCTGGGATCACCGCCGCACTGTGGGATCAGTCAGCTGTCTTAAATTACCTGATACAGGGCAGCTTTCTGCTTGGTCAGCACAAGGGGTCAGCCGTAAACATCTGCAGTGTGTCTTGCAGATGATTGTTTTGTTTTGTTTACATTTTTTTGGTTTGTCCTTTTAGAGCTCATGAATTTCCATATTTGATTCCTGATGTCTAGTCTTTCTCTATAGAAAGGGTCTTATTGTTCAACAGTAGCTCTTTGGTGTAGGAATTTTTTCCTTCAATTATTTAACAAATGTTTGAGTGCCACTGGATGTAAAGATGACGAGGTTGCGATTCTTGGCTTTGTGTCTCAATAGACCTGGACTGGCAATGGTGAGCATTTTAGAGGCCAAGTGCCAAATGCAGCCCTAGCCGGCCTAGTTATTGATCACAAAGGGCCAACACTGTAGTTAACTTGAACACTGAGGTTTCAGTTTAGAAAAATAGCTCTGTATTAACATCTTTTGTCTTAAAGGGAAAGCACAGTAGCATGCATGCCATACGTTGGCCACTACTGTCGGAAACTTACGGAGGATTCTGACTCAGGGACTGCGAGATTTAAATTGTCTTGACCCTGATTTTTTTGTTTGGGGGTTTGGAGTTTTTTGTTTTGAGTTTTGGGGATAGATTGTGTTGTTTGTTGAGACAGGGTCTTGCTGTGCATCCTGATTCAAAATTCTCAGCAATCCACCATCCTTGGTCTCCTGGGTCCTTAGGTAATAGGTGCCACTGTTCCCAGCTTAACTTTGATTGGTGGGGAGGGGCAGAGCCTCACTGTATAGTACAGGCTGACTTTGAACTCACCATGTGGCCCAGGCTGGCCTCAAACTTGTGGCAGTCTTCCTGCCTCAGCCTCCCAAGTACTGAGACTACAGGTGTGTGCACCACTTCTGGCTTGGTACTGGTTTTGATAGCCTCTTTAAATAATTTTGTCTCATAGCAGTTATTGAGCTATAGTTTATAACCATTCAGTTTACCCATTTAAAGTGTACAGTTCATTGCTAGAGCTATCTTTTTTTTTTTTTTTTTTTTTTGTCTTTTTTATCGGTACCAGGGATCAAACTCACAACCGCACACTTGCAAGGCAGGTGCTTATGCCGCTGAGCTAAATCCCCAGCCCCCATTACTAGAGTTATGAATTATGGTTCATTTTAAAACATTTTCATCATCTCAGGAAATGTCCTAGATTCTTTGGTGATCACCCTGCAGTCTCCATCTCCCTAACTCTAACCTCTTTTCAGTTTAAGGTTTGTTCTTTTACTTGGGTTTGTAGTTTCTGAAGCAAACTGACCCTTTGAACAAGGTAACATAGTAGTTACCCACAATACACTCACTATTAAAGGACTTGAATTGGCAAGAAGTTGTTTCAAGCCTAGGTTGGGTTTAAAGTGCTGGTCCACTTTGCACTGAGCTACATCCTCAGCCGTGTTTTTGGAGACCTGTCTTACTGTGTTGACCAGCCTGGCTCAGACATGCAGACTTGCATGCCTCAGCTTCCCAGGGTACTAAGATGATAATCGTGTGCCCTGTACCACCTGATGCCAGGTTTTTCACTGGCCTTTAGTAAAATGGTGGGTAAATGAGATATGGATATGAGTGTTGAAAATCACCCTGGAAATACTGCGTTTTTGCGGTACAGAATAATCACCAAGAGCCTGGTCTCATAACTAAGACTGTCCAGATTGAGGCTAGGCCCTACCACTTACTAGTGACCTTTAGTGAGTTACTCAGCCTCTGTTTTTGTTTTTTTCAAATGTGTATAGTAGGAATAATAACACCTATTTCATAGTATATGAGAATTAGAAAACTCAGAGAATGCATTTAAAACAGTGTCTGGTGGGCTGTGGATATAGCTAGTGGTGCAAGTACCTGCCTGGCAAGTACAATTCCTGGTACAAAAAAATAAAATAGTGTATGGCATAACTGTACTTTAGTATTTACAATTTCTACTTCTTAAGTTAAGCATTGAAAGTCTTATGTTGGTCAGCACGGTTTTGTTACTGTTTGCTTACAATCTTGGCTTGTGAGATAACTGGAAATCACCTGTGTAGTGATATAATCAGTGTCGATTTCTGGGACACACAAATGCAGGTTTGAATTCTAACACCATTAGTGAGTAATGATAGTATTTTGAGCAAGTTTTTTTTAACTTGTGAGCCATGTTGGTCTGACTGAATTATCTTTTCCTTTTTCTGTAACATTAAAAGTGTTTAAGCCAGCACAGCATAATTAAATTCTATTGACAATGCTGTAGTAAAACATGAATAATCTTATGAAATAGGACAAATAGAGGCCAAAAGTTCCTTGTGTTATTTTAGGTCGTGATATGTGATGCTGAGTAAGTTAGGTTGGCAGAGAGGTTTTTAGATGGAAAGTTCTGGGCCTACAGATGTAGACATCAATTATGCATCTTCTTCTGAATACTTGCCATGGTTATACTCTGATTCAGGAGACAGACTCAGCCAAGAGAATGATTAAAGGTTTCCCCAGCCACATTGTTTTTCTGTGAGTCCTTCAGTATAAGTGATTTTGATGGGTTTTTTTGTGAGAATTTATAGCACTTGCCATCACCAGCCAGCCTAACAATTTGGTGGTTTTTTTTATTGTAAGAAAACTACTATAGAGATGTAATGTACTCATATTTACAAAGTTGTTAAGTGATAGAGTTTGAATACATGATTTATGATAATAGAATACATTAAAAAAGACATCTTTTTTTCCTACTGCTGCCTAGCATTTTTATTTTTATTTTTTGGTAGTGCTGGGAATCTAACCTGGAGTCTAATTTCATCCTCAGAGTTAGTTGCCTTTCAAATTACAATTGCAGGGGCTGGGGATTTAACTCAGCGGCATAAGCACCTGCCTTGTAAGCAGGCAGTCCAGGCAGTCGTGAGTTCGATCCCTGGTACCGATAAAAAGGAAAAAGGCAAAAAAAAAAAATTACAATTGCACTACTCTGTTTCCACTTTCCCTTGTTTACATCTGGGGATAAGCCCAGGACCTTCCCGCTGAACTATAGCGGCAGCGCTTTTTTTATGTTTCACTTTGAGACAGGGTCTTGTGAAGTTGCCTATGCTGGGCTCGAATTTGTGATCTTCCTGTCTCAGCTTCCCAGAGTGCTAGGATTACAGATGTAAGCCAGTGTACCCAATTTTACCTTTCTTTTTGAGAATAACTGATTTATAGCAAAACTAAGAAAGCACTTTACATGGGTAATCTCCTTCCTTAGTGAACATTAAATAGCTCTACCATGGCCCTTTCATCTTTCCCCCGCTTCTCTCAATTATCTACCTTTGTTGCTTTTTAAAGATTTAACAAAGCTTGTTGTAGTGATTCTACAGATAGATTGACTTTATGGCAAACCTTTTGGACTGCTAGATATTTCTCATGCTTATATTCTATGCCTTTTCTTCCTGCCCTCCCTTAGACGAAGACATGCAATCCACAGTAGTGACTCTACTTCTTCCTCCTCCTCAGAAGATGAACGTTTTGAGAGGCGCAGGAAAAGGAGCCGGAACAGAGCTATCACTAGGTGAGTCCATATTGACTGTTTAAGAAACCACCAAAATAAAAAGTGGTAGGAAAATAGAATAACTTGGAAATAGGAACAGTTTGTTTAATAAAGAAGTTGTACCACAGGCTAACATATAACATGGAGTGCTGTCTTGTCGGAGACACACAGTCGAGGCCACAGGGCAGAGGCTACGGTGGTGATTTCTTGCCAGACCATTATATCACCCACAGCGGTGCTTGGTGAACACTGACTTGAGGGAGCATTTTTTCATTTGAAACATACTTTTTCCATGTACAATGCTTTGGAACTCTTAAAATTGAAAGGTTTATTATTTTCATAACTCGTTGTATAAGTCTAGATATATTAACCAGTTCATTTGATTGTTCACAAAAATTATATCAAACAGATAGGTTAAGGATGTTCTCATTTTGTTGCGTCCCTGGGAGGGTCTGGGGTCTCCAGCCCGCCCTCAGGTTTTCCTGGGCCTGTCTCTGTTTCCAGTGGACAAAGAGGAAGAGCAATCAAGACAATGTAGAGCGAGAGTTAAGTTCACTGGGAGAAAAAGAAGATACAAAGCCGCTCTTGAGGAGAGGGCCCCAGAGCTGGACCAGTTGCTCTGTGCTCAACTGCTGAGTGTGGGCAGCAGTCCTGGGTTTAAGGTGTGGGCCTTATCCAGTATGCTCCTCCCCACCCTCCATTGATCTGTCCTGTTGCTAGGGGTTTGGGTTCAGTAGTGCAAGATGGGGTGGGCAACGTTGCAGAAGCAGGACGCAGGCTGCTTTTTAGGATGCTACATGGGCCCACTTTTAGGGGTCCCTGTCCCTACGATTTTACAGGTGTGGGTAGGTGGGTAAGAATATAGTGCTTGAATTCCAATAGTAAGGTGTTACAGAGCAAAAATCATGCTCAGAAAGCAGTGGGGCATAGCAGTGGAAGGAAGGAGCGCTGGAGCTTGCTTTGTATCCCTAAGCTCTGTGCCTCTGTCCCACTCAGGCTGCCCTGCCCAGAATAGCAGCACTACTGGCCTAGCCAGGCATGGCTGTCGATGCTTGAAGGTGGTCAGTAATGTCAGTCTTCATATAAAATCCATGTTTAAAGCACCTGCCTTGCAAGCAGGCAGTTGTGAGTTCGATCCCTGGTACTGATAAAAAGGAAAAAGACCAAAAAAAAAAAAAAAAAATTCCATGTTTAGCTTTCAGAAACAGAATCCTCTAAAAAAGTGAAATCTATTTTTTAGGATAACTGGATTGCATATTTAAGTGATAATATTTTTGATGTATTAGGATACATAAAATACTAAGATTTTATTTTGGTTTTCCTTTGCCCAACAGGGCCAATAGGAAATTACATTCATGGCTTGCATTTTGTGTCCATTGCACAGCAATGAGTTAAATCATCCAAAATCTCTACAGTTAGACTGCTTGGGTTTTTCTTTGTCTTTATTCATGGAAATGTGAATTGAATCTGTATATTTTATATTGTTCAATTAAATATTTTTCAAAAATGAAGTATTAAGAAGCTATAATTGTACATTTGTGTCTGAAATTTCATAGTGTAACTTCTTCACGGCATTGCTTCCTTGCAGAGTTTTAACAGCAATATGTCAAGTATTTCAAAGTAGCTAAGGAAGGATTTTGAACATTTCCACCACAGAAATGTGATAAATGTATTAGGTGATGAATTTGATGAATGCCCCAATTTAATCACGATTTAATGCTTGTATCAAAACATCACACTGTACCCTATAAACATACAATTCAACTAAAAGTGAAATCTCATGAAGTTTGAGACTATCAAGAATGATCACAGGAGGCGAACCCGGCACGCCTTGTGTTCAGCTGCAGCAGTTGTTCTTCGCCTAGGCTCTCCTCCTCGTCCTCTAGCGTAGCCAGTCTTTATCTATCAGCCTGTACAGTGAGCAGCTATTCTAAGACACGGGTGGTGCATCCTTGCCTACAAGGCTGGCTGGTGAGCTTCGAATGCCTTGCACGAGGTGGTCAGGTGAAGGTAGTTGTTCAGGTCTAGAGAAAGACTGCTAGTGCTTGATTCTTAGCTAGCCACTTGCTACTTGTGTGATCTTGGGCAGATTTCCTACCCTTTCCGTGCCTCAGCTGTCCTCCCCAATGAGGAAAATTGTGCCTCACGAGACCACTGTGAGGATTTAATGTCTTAAGACATGTAAAGCACCTAAAACAAAGAGTGTCTGGCAAATGCTGTATGTTAGACACAGTTACAGCAAACATTGTTACTGTCCAAATTCTGCACTGTGAATTAGTTTATGTACTTGAGGCATATTCATGATTGGATGCTTTCATTTGATTATTAGAAAAATGGTAATTTCTAAGATGGAATTGGGAAGAGGGTGACTCAATGGGTGTGTTATTTAAAATATTTTTAATAGGTGCCTTCCGTTAAATTTTCGGAAAGATGAGTTAAGAGGAATCTATAAAGATCGAATGAAAATTGGAGCCAGCCTTGCCGATGTTGACCCTATGCAGCTGGACTCTTCAGTGCGTACTCTGCTTTGGAATGTACACTTCAAGTATAATATTCTTTATTTTGGTTTTACCTAGTTGGAACTGGTGAGCACACATCTATAATCTCAACACTGGGGGGGGGGGCAGGACAATTTCAAATTCAAGTCCATCCTGATGACTCAGTGAGACCCTGTCTCAAAATAAAATTTTAAAGGGATGGGGGAGTAGCTCAGTTCAAAGGCTCTGTGTTCAGTCCCCACAGAAGGAGATTATTTTTTTTCTTAACAGAAACTTTAATATTGATTTACTATTTTTGGAGACACAGTTTTGCTGTGTAGTTCAGGCTAGCTTCGCTCTTAACTATGTAGCCCAGGCTGGCCTTGAACTCACTGCAGTACGACTGCCTCAGACTCCTAAGTGCTGGGATTACAGGTGTGCACTAGCACACCTGTTTTATACTTTGTATTTTTAAATCTTTGGCACAACTAAGAGACTAGTATCTATGGATGGGTTGGTATAGTTTAGAGGTTGGGTAGCACTTTTAGTTTTGATCAAAATGTGATGCTCAGATGCTGGGGATATAGCTTAGCAGCACAAGTACCTGTCTGGCAAGTGTAAAGCCCTGAGTTCAATTCCCAGTACCTGAGTTCAGTTCCCCAAAATTACCAAAATGTCCTATTGGGCTCGGCATAGTGTGATACACACCTATAGTCCAGTACTCAGGAGACTGAGGTAGGAAGATCTCTGTGAATTCAAGGCCACCCTGAACTACATAGTGAGACCCTATCTCAGAGAAACCACTTTTTTAATGTTATTATTGATGTTCTCTTCCATTTTACCAGGTACGGTTTGACAGTGTGGGTGGTCTGTCTAGTCACATTGCAGCTCTGAAAGAGATGGTGGTGTTTCCATTGCTGTACCCAGAAGTCTTTGAAAAATTCAAAATCCAGCCCCCCAGGTAATTTAATTATGCTGTTCGTTAGTTTTAGCCATAGTGTGTGTTATGCTGTTACTTTTGGTTCTTATGCCTTGATTAACCTGTCTTTAAATTCTAGTCCTTGAATGTCTTTCCCTTGTGCCACTTTTTTCTCTGAATCATCTAGTATGGAGACAATGGTTCTAAATTAGTAAGCTTTCTCTCTTTTCCTTATGAAAGTAATGTAATCAATCACAGTTAAATATTGGTGAATTTTGAAGTGAGTAAAATTTTAGAACGTAGGAATGTTGGAAATGCCTAATTTTTGTGAATTCAAAAAGACAAACCCCCCAAATTTTGTTATTTTTTCCATCCTTACAACATATACTTCCCTATCAAAATCAAACTCTATAATTTTGTTGTATGATTGCATGGGTAAGGTAAAGTAATATGAGTGTGGCAAGTAAAATGTTTCACATGACAGGCTTTATTTACAGTTTGTATATGAATTTTATAATGTCAAGAACAACTACCAGGTTTTCAGTTGTATATTGTGTAGTATAATGTATCTTTCAATTGCCTTTGCTTTTTAATTCACTAATTAAATAAGTTAATGAAATTAATTCCTAATTTTTGTGTCAGTGGGCTACTTTTTAACATGGTGCTAACCTGCCTGACGTTATCTTACAGAGGTTGTTTGTTCTATGGTCCACCCGGAACTGGAAAAACTCTGGTTGCTAGAGCCCTTGCCAATGAATGCAGCCAAGGGAATAAAAGAGTAGCGTTTTTCATGCGGAAAGGCGCCGACTGTCTAAGTAAATGGGTAGGGGAGTCTGAGAGACAGCTCCGACTGCTGTTTGATCAGGTATGATGCCTCAGCTCGTTTCCATCTCATCTGCAGACACTGCCTTGAGTCACTTTTCTATAGAAATTAAGTCCAAAGAATTGTACCAAAGTGGTCTTCGTAGGTTATTTGCTTTTGTATGTCAAGATTACACTGTTCATAGTTTTACAGTCAGAAGAGAAATAACTAATTTAGTCTAAGTTCTTTGAAGTCTTAGATCTGGTACCGAGTGAGACGCTAGGGAGTAAAGGACAGTCCTGCTGGGGAGGCGAAGGCCGGCCTGCTGTGGGGATGTATCCGCCACACTTTGCAAGATGATCTATTGTGCTCTCCTGAGACACACTGTATTTCTCTGGAGTTTTCTGAGGTTCGGTTTTACTCTTTACTGAAACACATGGGAGAAGACTGTGTCTCTTCATTTTCACAGTCTTTAGTGGGGGTTTTATAAGTGTTTTAAATTTGCAAATTGATTCTAGTAAGCAGTTTTGAATAGTTTGAAACAGTGTGTATTCATATTTACACGACACATTCTGGAGGAGTTTGAAAACGGGTGATATTGAATTCACATTTTTGAGGCTTCTTAAGGGAGTGTGAGTGATGCTGGCCCTGCTTTTAGGCCTATCAGATGCGCCCATCCATTATTTTCTTCGATGAGATCGATGGTTTGGCTCCAGTGCGGTCAAGCAGACAAGACCAGATTCACAGGTAAGAAGCCTCAGTGACACTTGGACCTTTTCCTTGTATTTGAAAGCCTCAGTGTTACATGAGAGAATGTTACATTGTGAAAGAAACCGCACAAATACCTCAGTACACTGTAGAGAAAGAAAAGGTGAATGTAATTGAGAGTTAGGATATTCTAAATACAGCTTTAAAACCTCAGTTGCAGAAGACTTAAAATACAAAGAAGTGACCACAGGCCATTGAGGCAGGTGAGGTGGCCAGTGATCAGGAGAGGGCTTTGGTGGGAAGTGTATGATTGCTGTTGTCATCAGCACCCCATCCTATTACCTGGTGTGCAGAAACGAGACTCGAGAGACAGATCTACACGCTCTAATTTTATACTCAGAATTTTGAACACCTTAAATACTGCCAACTAATTTCATTTATTTTGAAGATTTGCCTGGATCAAATGAAATATGTTAAGATATTATTACTTGTTTGCGGTTCTGACAGTAGTGCCACCCTCACCCTCCCAGGGAGCTTGAACCCGGTCCTTAGCTGCTAGGCAGGTGCTCTTCCACTGAGCTGCATCCCCAGCTGGTTTGGTTTGGACGTAGGGCCTTGCTAAATTGCCAGCCCATTAACTTGCAATTCTCACACACCAGTCTCCTTAGAAGGCAATATCACAGGTGTGTGCCATGGCTCTCGGTTAATTTTTTCACATAAAGATGAGAAAACTGTCTTTTCCCCATGATTAGGTACCTATCCAAGGAAACACTTCCTGGAGCCACTGTCCCGTCCTGATTCTAAGCTACCTGTCCCAATTCATCTGTAATTCTTCAGAGCTTCTTTTCAAATGGTCTCATGGATTATTTGACCCTAAATTTAGCACATGTTTGCGTTCCTTTATTGTAGCAGTATTGTTTTAGATTTACGTAAATCGGATGAGTAAGATACAGTAGCAGGATTAGATGGGTTTTGACTTGTTTGATCTTGAACAGTATTTAATATCTTTGTTCACTTGATGAAAATTACTTCATTTATTGAGTGAATTGAAATATCAAGTACCATGATAAATACTTCATTGTATTATCATTTTCATAAGTATTTTATACTGTGCATGTTGCGTTAGTGATCACAAACTATATGGTGCATGTCATTATCAGTCACATATAGGTACTGTGTTGAGTCACTTTTGAGAAATTAAGATCAAAGAATTACACCAAAAGTACAATTCATTGTGTTAATAGGGGGAAACATTTAACAACACTATCATCACTCCGTAGTCAGGTAAATTGAGACATTACTTGCTGTATTGGGATTTTTCTTTTTTAAAAATTGAAGGAATTTTAGCAAGCAGAAATACGCCATTTCAAATACATACACACATATTTAAGGCAAACTTAGCATTTTGCCAAAAACTTAAACATTTTAATTTTAGAATTTAGCACATTAAAAATGAACACATTGTATTCTCAGCTCTATGATTCTATTGTATCTTACTGTTTGTAGTAAATAATACTGTAGAGTAATGCCAAAAATGTCAAACATTTCTTCTCCCTGTCCTATACAGAGCATAATTCAGGATAACTCAGTAGTTGATGAAGAAATGTAATTCTGTCAAGGAAAACCATACCTGAGAAACAAATGGACTAATACAAAATAGTAGACCCAGCACTGGGATTTTAACTGTGGGTAATTTCTGCCCCCCACACACTCCTTGTCCCCATTTTTCAGAGGACACATCTGTTGTCCAGCGACTTTTTTCGCGTTATTCTTGCGACAGACTCTCACTGTGTAGTTCAATGGCCTTGAACTCACGACATAGCATAGGCTGGCGTTGAATGCACAGCAGCCCTCTGCCTCAGCCTCTCCAGTGCTGACATGACAGGCGTGCACCAACACGCCTGGCCCTGGCACCAGCTTAGATTGACAGAATTGGAGGGGAGGTTACTAGTATCCAGCAGGCCAAGGCCTGAGTTACTTCCAGCCCTGTACATGACAGCCCAACCCTATTCTTGATAGCACGCTTTAGCAATAGTTCTAAGGTTGAAAAGCCTTGATCTGAACAGTAATTGTCAGTGGCTGCTAAAGTTAAGATAGAAATGCTGATAGGGAAATTTTTTTCTTCATGTCACCGCATTTTTAAAAAAAAAAAAGTTTTTAAGTCTTCTTTACCTTCTTGACTTTTTTTTTTTTAATGTCCCAGGGATCAAACTCATGACCTGGCACTGAACAGGCAAGCACTTAAGCCACTGAGCTAAATCTCCTGTCCCTAAAAAAGTGCTTTTGTCGTTCCCTGTTAATTTTGTAGAATCCCAGATTTTAATATGCATAATGTGTTTTGATCATATCCTCTGTCCTTTAAACTCCCCTATCCTTTCTCTTTGTCTAATAGTCTCACTTCTTTCTCTTTTATGTCATCCTTTTTTAGTTATCACATGTTAGGAACATGAAGTACTTGACTTTCAGTGTTTGGTTTATAATAAGCTTAAATGATGACCCCTAGTTTCATCTACTTTTGAAAATGGCAAAATTTTGTCCTTTACAGCTCTGTGATACTCCGTTGTGTGTGTATATGTACCACATTTGCTTCATCCACAGTGGACACGTGAGCTGGTCCCTGTGTGACTGTACCACATTATACATGGTTATGTGAGCCCACTGAGTCCCTGACTTACAGACTCTCATAGGTGCACTATATGAGACAGTTTGCTGGGCTTAGAAACAACTCTGAATTACGAACATTCTTCTGAAACAGAACTTAATTTAAGTTGGGAATTCACTGTGTCCCAGAGCAGCGATGGTGCACCTTTTTTAGAGACCAGGTACCCAAACTGCACCCAAGACTCAGTTATGGCAAAGTGCCAACACTGCAGTTAAACCTGAATGCTGAGGTTTTAATTTGGAAACAATAACTCATGCATTTGTCAAAGAAAAACAACAATAGAGCCTTCAAAAATACAAACAGCCAGGTGTGGCTCACACCTATAATCCCAGCGCTTGGGAGGTTGAAGCAGGAGGATTGTTTCAAGTTCGAAACCAGCCTAGGCTACAAAGTGAGCTTAAGGCCAGCTTGAACTGCATAGAGACCCTGTCTCAAAAAGAAAAAAAATATGAACAGCTTTTTATCCAAAGGTAAAAATTTGCATCTAGGGTATTTGGAACTAATGTAACCCTTGTTATTATGTGCGTGCTCAAAGCCCTGAGTTTGATCCCTAGCACCACATTATACAAAGGTTATTTTGAGACAGTTTGATTTTTAAAAAGTGATTGTTAGATAATATTGAGATAATTTGGGGTGATGGTATCTTTTTTAATCCCTTATCAGATTACCTGTGTGTAATACATGCGATTTTTATGGGTTATTAATAGTATTTAGGAAGTTTAGGGGCATTTGTGTTTGTTTGGTTTGAGTTTTTGAGACAGGACCTTGCTATGTAGTCCAGCTGGCCTTTAGCTCGCTGTGTGCCTGTGCCTGGCCATTCTCCCGCCTCTGCCACCTGAGCATTGGGATTATAGGCGTGCACAACCGTCTGGCCATGGTGTGTTTTCTTTTTAAAAGCAGTTGAATAGAAGTAAGAAAGGAATCCTGAGGAGTGTTGATGTGAGATTGAGTTTAAACGTGGAGATGAGTTTAATTAAAACGCAGTTTTCCCATCACCAAGAGGCTGAGGCCCAGCCTGGACACCTTGGTGAGGCGCCCTCTCGAGATGATGGCTGGGTAGCGGCTGTTCTGGAGGCTGTGGCTTCATTCCCAGGACCACCCTGGACTCCAGGGATCCATACTTCAAAGCTGACTGTATATTCTACTGCATTTCGATGTTTTGTGTTTAACAATCATTTTGTTGCATTAGAAACTGTCCTTGGGCTGGGGATTTAGCTCAGTGGCATAAGCGCCTGCCTGGCAAGCGCAAGGTCATGAGTTGAATCCCTGTACCACACACACACACAAAAAAAAAAGACATTAGAAACTGTCCTTTGTACATGGAACGACTAGAGGGTTTATTTTGATATTATATCCTTAACTGGAACTCCCAAGTTTCTTTGTGAAATTATGCTTTATGAAGTAATTTCCAGGATTTATTTATTGTATTCTAAAGATCATCTGTGTTTCTGTTATGAATTAACAGAAACATATCTGTGTTCTATCTAGTATGTTGTTTTACAGGGTTTTTAAAAATCCATTGAAATTAACTAGCCAGGCAAATGCCTGTAATCCCAGCACTCCGAAGGCTGAGGCAGGAGAATTGCTGTGAGTTCAAGTGCAGCTTGGGCTACATAGTGAGTTCAGGACCAGCCTGAATTACATAGCAAGATCTGTCTCAAAAAAACAAAAAAAAGAAGAAAGGAAGGGAGGGTAACTACTTAGGTATTAAGAAAATTTGTTCACATGTAATGTAGTAAATCTTAGCAAGAGAAGAAATGACTAGGTGGCATGCTTTGGCCCATAGTATTCACCTCTGCTCTCTCATTTTTCAATTCAGCTCTATTGTCTCCACTCTGCTAGCTCTTATGGATGGGCTGGACAGCAGAGGAGAGATCGTGGTCATCGGTGCTACCAATAGGCTGGACTCCATAGACCCTGCCTTGCGAAGGCCTGGTCGATTTGACAGAGAGTTCCTTTTCAGCCTACCTGATAAAGACGTAAGAATTTAATAACATCACTCAGGTTTTGACAAAATAATATTGCTTTTCATTATTAGCAAGCATTATAATAAAAATTTGAAGATTCTTGAGTTTCGTATCAAGATCTAATCATGATAGCTCAAAAGGACTCATGAGGATAATTTCTTTTAAGTATAATGATACTCACCTAAAATCACTTTTAAAGTTCTTGCCACTCAAGCACAGCCTTTGGATTGTCAGTTTTGCTTTAGTAACTAAGGAATACTCAGCGTTGGCCAATTTATTACTGATTTTTCCTGAAGATCATCATAATAATTTTAATCCATTATTTTAAAGCCACTTAAAGCTCTTCATAACCATGTAAGGCACTGTGGGTGGAACTGTCAGTACTTTAAAAAGTTGATTTATTTGTGTGTTGGGGGGGGGGGTTGAACTCAGGAACTTGCACTTGCCAGGAAGGCACTGTGCTGCTGAGCTAAATCCCTAGCTTAAAAACAGTTCTTAATACATGTCTGAACAAATAAAATTTTAGTAATTATTTAATTTCTTTCATGTATTTTTGTGAGGAATATCACCGTGGCAGTGTAAATGCAAATCTGTTTAATAACAAGACTGATTTCCTTGGACTTCTACAGATACATCTTTGTCTTTATTTTTACTGTTTATGTTTCTGTTTGTATTAAGTATTGATTATAATTTTAGATAATAGTAGAATATACCAAAATTATTCTAAGCTAAAGAGCATTTTATTATAATAGTTGTAAAAAATTTGAAATGTTTTTATTCATAGGCTCGAAAAGAGATTCTGAAGATTCACACAAGGGATTGGAATCCCAAACCATTGGACGTATTTCTAGAAGAAGTAGCAGAAAACTGTGTTGGTAAACATTGTTTTAAGCAGTTAAAAGATACTTACATCATTTCAAAACTGGAACAAGTTGTTGTCTTGCAAAGTTCTGTTTGAAGAAATGCAGATTGTATTTGTTTCTCTTATTTGTGTCATGTTTTCATCTTCAAAGTCCTAGGTGTCAAATAGAAATACCTGGCATGTTGGCCATTGGACGAATTTGAGAAGAAAGTAGATAATCATCATAATTATCCTTTACAGAATGTTTAGTTAATTTTCCTGGTCATTGTGGTCAGCTTCCTTTGTACTTTATTTCATTAATTTTCATGTCAGTCCTGCTAGTAAGGTGGCATTACCTCCACTTTGCAGAGGAAATATCTACAGAGCCTAAGTTATTCTCCAAAGATTACACAGTGTCTTAGTTACTTTTTACTCGTTGCTGAGACGAAATACCTGAAGCCCAAGTTGGGAAAGGACAGTTTTTGGAGGTTTCAGTCCACACTCACTTGGCTCCAAGGCAGGTGGGCATGGCTGGGCCCCAGTTCATGGCGGCTGCAAACAGCAAGCAGGAACCAGCAAAGAGCAAGACACACCTTCTTCCTGCCATTATATCACATCCTGGCTCCATCCCTATGTGGGTGTAGCACTAACACCATCAATCCAAGCACTAGACAGTGAATCATCACAAATGCACAATGCAAACTCATGAGGCCTGGGGGCCACAGACATAAACCATGACACACAGCTAATAAATGACCAACAAGAATTTGATCCTTGCTTCTTTTTAAACCCTTGCTTTCTTGATTTTTAGGCTATACAGTACTGAGTAATCACATACTGTATTTCACTCACTCACTGATTCATTGGTAGCCAGTACCACCATAGAAGTTCATCACATAAATGAGAAGTTTTAGTTTTGCTACTTATAAGTATTTTCTGTTTGTGGGTAGTTTGGTTTTTAATTTTTCCAGTAGTGACCACGTTACTAGAGATTTCTGATTTTTTTTTTTTTTTTTTTTTTTTTTTTTTTTTTTTTTTGGCTCTCTTTGCTTTGGATAGGCTACTGTGGTGCAGATATTAAGTCGATATGCGCTGAGGCTGCTTTGTGTGCCCTGCGTCGACGTTACCCACAGATCTATGCAACTAGCGCGAAGCTACAACTGGATCTCTCTTCAATTAACATTTCCGCCAAGGACTTTGAGGTAGCTATGCAGAAGATGATTCCTGCCTCCCAGAGAGCTGTGGCCTCCCCTGGCCAGGCACTGTCTGCCATCGTGAAGCCACTCCTGCAAAGTACTGTGCACCGAATCCTGGAGGCACTGCAGAGGGTATTTCCGCATGCAGAAATCGAAGCAGACAAAGCACTAGACTCAGGTACAAAACTTGAGTGACCCCTGAAAGGTACATTGCATGGTCACTAGTGCTAATATTTTTATACATCCCAGAAATGTTTCTTTGTAGAATCTGTTTAAACATTTGGTTGTACTTTTCCTGAGATGCTTGAGGGGATTTTACTTCAGAAATTAGCTTGTTTTAAGTTTGGAATGTATTTCTGTATTTTCTTTTTTGAGACAGGACTTTACTATGTAATGCAGTCTGGTCTTGAACTCACTTTGTAGCCCAGGCTGGTCTTGAATTTGCAACAGTCCTCCTGCCTCAGCCTCCTATATTCCTATGTTGAAATTATAGGCGTGGACCACCACACCCATCTTACTTTTGTATTTTCTTGATAACTACACAAATATATTTTTTTGAGTTTTAAAAAAGTTCATTGAAATATACTGATTGTCTAACTGCACCATTAAAGAAAGTTTTCTAATGTTTTCTGTTTTGTAGCTATTTCTTGTCATCTTCTAGACAGCGACTTGGCATACAGTGATGATGATGTTCCGTCAGTATATGAAAATGGACCTCAGAAATCCTATACTAAAGCAAAAGAAAATTTTAGTTTTCTTCACTTAAATAGGTAGGTGTACTTTGCATACAAGCAAATCTTTTGGTGTAATTCATGTTGAGTGAGATTTGTTGGATGGGTTAACAGATGGTAGCCAATCTGCTTTTTACTTAAAGTATCAGAAATGCTTTGTTACAGTTGTCATTATTTAAAAGTACCCTTCACAATCTGTAGGAGTCAGTTGTTAGCAGAACTCTGAACCACGCTCCTGTGCTTGGCTTCTTGTATAGGCAGGACTTACAGAGAAGGGAAAACATTTGAGCTTTTGCTTTTTTCTAAAACACTGGTTAATTAATCATTCTTTCAGAAATGCTTGTTACCAACCCTTGTCTTTTCGACCAAGAATATTAATTGTGGGAGAACCAGGATTTGGGCAGAGTTCTCATTTGGCACCAGCTGTCATCCATGCCCTGGAGAAGCTCACCGTCCACACTCTGGACATTCCCGTCCTCTTTGGAGTCAGTGCTGCATCCCCTGAGGAGACGTGTGCCCAGGTGCTGCCTTATTACCTGACAGACAGCTGTAGGAGGAGAGAGCTGTCTTCAGAGACAAAGCCTAGAATTACCTTACTGTTTTCACAGGGCGGAGGGCGGGGGGGTTGTGTTGGTGGTGGTGGGTTTTTGTTCTGATTTCTGATTTCGAGTTTATTAAATAGAGCTGTGCATACTTGCTTGACTGTTAAAGAATAGAGATTTAAATCTCAGTTCTACCACTTAATAGCTCTGTGGCCTTTCAGAAAGCTTAGATGCCTCCTCATTTTCTTCATTTGCAAAATGGAGATGGTACAGTTATGAGAGACTTAAGTGAGTCAGGTATTTGCAAGATGATATTCCTTAGAAAGGTGTCGTTCCAGAGCTTTTCGTCTTTCTGAAACAGGGTCTTACTCTGCAGTTCAGGCTGGCTTTGGGCTCACTGTGTAGCCCAGACTGGTCTCAGACTTGCAGTGGTCCTCCTGCCTCAGCCTCTGAGCACTGGGATTACAGGAGTGTACTACCACACCTGGCTATATTTAATTTTTAAAGCACAAAGGTGTTATATATTTGTATTTTTGTTGAACTTTGGTTACCACAACAGGAAAGCAGTTTAGGTTTCTGTTTTGTTTTGTTTTGTTTTGTTTGTTTGTCGGTACCAGGGATTGAACTCAAAAGCAGACGTTTATGGCTGCTGAGCTAAATCCCCAGCCCCCAGTTTAGATTTCTTGAGGTGTTTTCTACTCTGTTGAAACAATTCTGGTTTCTCAAAAGTAAGACTTTTGTAAAACGCCTAAAAACAAAGTTGTGGGAGGGAGGACCAAACTTTTTTTTTTTTTTTAAATCAGTACTGGGGATCAAACTCACGACTGCCTGCTTGCAAGGGTTAGCTAAGGGTTAGCCGCTGAGCTAAATCCCCAGCCCTGGACAAAACATTTTAAAAACTTCAAAGTTTTCTGTGATAATTCTAGGACATTAAGCACTGTTTCAGGCTAATGAAGTTAGCATTACTTTTAAACTGAGGATTGGTTTGTCTGTCTGTTTGTTTCCCCCGTGTGTCTGGCAGGTGATTCGCGAGGCTAAGAGAACAGCACCAAGCATAATCTATGTCCCGCACATTCACTTGTGGTGGGAAGTGGTTGGACCAGCACTCAAAGCCACGTTCACCACCTTGCTGCAGAGCATTCCATCGTTTGCCCCAGTTCTGCTGCTTGCAACTTCTGACAAGCCCCATTCTGCTCTGCCAGAAGAGGTGAGGGCTGGAGGAGTCATTAGTCTTTTTGTTTGTTTTTTGGTACCAGGGATTGAACTTTTTTTTTTAATTTTAAAGCAGGAAAAAATAATTCAAAACAGGGTAACACGAGAGCAACAAGGATTCATGCATTGCATATTATCTTCAGTTACTCAGAGTATAAGTATGCATTTATGCAAACAATATTAGCACAAACCTTTCTTTTCAGTGAATTAAATCAGTAGTGTAACACTCTTGTGTGTGCATATGCAGATACAGTTTTTGTTTGTTTGTTTTTTGGTACGGGGAATTGAACTCAGGTTTCACGCTTGCCAGGCAGGTGCTGTGCCACTGAGCTATGTCCCCAGCTGTTTATGTTTTGCTTTGCTTTTTCCTTTCTTTTCTCCTTTTCCCCATCCCAGTTTTCTTTCTTTTGAACAGTTTTTTTTTTCCCCATTTCATAGTGTCTGTTGTATATTCTGGATCTTACTTACTTTTTTGGCTTCTCACATTAGAGAAACAATACAATGTGTCCATATGTGAGTCTGATTTAAGTTTCAAGCTTATCTTGCTTAATGCTGAGTGTTTTGTTGTATAAAAGGACCACATCTTTTTTTGTCCATTCTTCCATTGGTGGGCATTTGGGTTGCCTCCAAAATCTGGCTATTTCAAATTGTGCTGCTGTGAACATGGGGACACATACATGGCTATAGTACAATATTTTTAATTCTTCTGGGAGATACCCAGAAAGGGAACAGCTGGGTCGAATGGGACCTCCAATCCTAGTTTTTTGAGGAATCTGCACACTGATTTCCACAGTGGTTGCCCCAGTCTGCATTCCCACCCGCAGAGGAAAAGGTTCCTTTTACCCCACAGCCTCTCTAGCGTTTGTTATTGGTTGATTTCTTGATGACAGCCATTCTGTCCAGGGTGAGACGGACTCTCAGTGTTGTTTTAATCTGCTTTCGCTCGAATGACCAGTGATGGTGAACATATATATTTATTGGCAATTTGTACTTCTGCATCTGAGAAGTACACATTCCTCTCAGGAGCCTCAATTGGATTTTAAATTGAAGAGGTCTGTGTTTTGTTGGTTTTGTTCTCAACAGTAATCCTTTGTGTGAGAATCAGCTGGCAAACATTTTTCCCCACTCTCTTTACTATGTTGGTGGTTTCTCTTGCTGTGTAAAGGGTTTTTAATAAGATGAGATCCCAGTTGATTCTTCTTCATAGTTCTGTGTGGTAAGGGTTTTATTCATGAAGTTTTTGTCTACACCAATGTCTTTAAGAGTTTTACCTATTTGGGGGCTGGGGATTTAGCTCAGCGGCATAAGCGCCTGCCTTGCAAGCAGGCAGTCGTGAGTTTGATCCCTGGTACCGATAACAATGAAAAAGACAAAAAATTAAAAAAAAAAAGTTTTACCTATTCTATCTTCTAGCATTTTGAATGTTTCTGTTTTAATATTCAGATTTTTTACCCATTTCAAATTTATTTTCATGCATGGTGAAACATATTGGTCCAGTTTTAATCTTCATTATGTGCAAAGCCAGTTTTTCCAGCACCATTTATTAAAGAGTGTGTCTTTCTCCAATGTATTTGGCACCTTCATCGAAGATAAGGTGGCTTAGTGTGTCTGGAGTTGTTTCTGCATCTTCTAATGTAGTCCATTGATATTCCGGTCTGCTTTGGTCTTTGTTACTGTTTTTTTGCCACTACCACAGTTTTGCTTTGTTTTATCACAGTAGCTTTATAGTATAGTTTCAAATCAGGGATTGTGCTGCCTCCTGCCTTGCCTTTGTTACCCAGAATTAATCTTTGCTACTCTAGGTCTCTTCTGGTTCCAAATGAGTTTTTGAATTTTCTCTAATTCTGTGGGAATTTGGATCGGAATTGCATTAATCTGTGTGACAGTTTTGTGGGTATGGCCATTTTCACTATATTGGTTCTTCCTACCCAAAAGAAAAAGATATCTCTCCACTTTCTGATACCTTCTTCAGTATTCTTTTTCAGAGAACTGTAGTTTTCAATGTAGAGGTCTTCTGCATCCTTTGTTAGATTGGATATCAGTGTTTGAAAAGACGATTGTTTCTACCAAAGTAATCACAGCTTATTGCTTCAGAAGTAAATAAACCAGTTTTCTGCTAGTTGGTTAGCCTGTATGCTAAAGGGTAGGATGTTATGTTACAGTTCACTCTTACCAAATGGCCTTTTCATTATATTGATGTGCTATTATTTATTAACTCAAGTTTCTGTTGGTAGGTAATTTGTTTATTTTTTAGTATTTCCTACTGAATTGCTGCTTGAGCTTCCTTGTGTCTTAATTTGTATGAGCATCGCTATATGGATTTTTTTTTTAGGTTGGAATCTAGTTATATAGTCCTTGAATTCATTATGTAGCCCCAACTGGGCTCAAATTCTTGGCCTCCTGCCTCAGCCTCCAGAGTGCTGAGATTACAGGTGCATGCCGCCACACCTGGCTGCTGTATGGAGTCTAGGCGTTGATTCCTATAAGTGGAATAACTTATAATATTAGTACTAAATTATATCCAAGTTTCTCTTAATTTAAACAACTGCTAATATAAGCAGAACTTCTTGCTGTTTCTTTCTGGAGTACTCTTCTCTTACAGACTTGTATGAGTCCTTTTGTTCGAGTGTCTGCTCCGACCTCACCTCGGAGAGGTCCCTTGGTCTGATTTCCTCTGCCCATCACTGTTGTTCCTGAGTCTCTGCTTAGTGAGCATCCCTGCCTGCGCCATCCGTCCTCCCAGAATACACAGTGCACAGGGAAGGGGCCTTCTACCTTCTGGTGAGCCCACATCATACATGGTTTAGGCCTCTGGGCCTGTTTTTTATGGTACAGACACTTTCATCTTTTTAAGTTGTATTGATTTCTTTACCTACCTATCTTCTCCCTTACTTTAGGAAGGAGGCTCTCCTTATGTGGCCCACCGTGGCCCAAACACATAGGCTTAAGCTATCCTGTCTCAGCATCCTAAGCCGCTGTCAAAGTGTTCACCACTCTCCAGCTTGTGGTTTTTTTAAATTAATAAATGGGTTTAGTAAATATTTTCCATACCTTTGACAAATGGATTTGCACAGTTTTTTAAAAATTAGAACAAGGCCCGGTATATAGCTCAGCAGGTTAAAGACCTGCCTGGAAAGTCAAGGGCCTGAGTTCAGTTCCCAATACCAAAAAAAAAAAAAATTACTAGAACATTTGGTTCTAAGCCCTGAAAGTGCTAACAGTAAGTAGAATGGACAAAAATTTGATCCTTCTGGCTTATAATTGGGCTAACAGTTTAAGACAGAAGAAGAAATACGTTTAAAACCGTGTAATATTAACTGTTGGTATGAAGAAGACTGGTTAGGCAGCACCCAGGACAGGAGTGGACTCAGAGGCCTTAGATGAATAGTGAGAAGGACCTGAGCTGTTGAAGCATCCAAGGAACCACGGACGTGCTGGGCCTCAGAGGGAGTGCACAAACCTGAGGCTGCCAGGGTACTGGAACAGAGCTGCGGAGAGGCGTTCAAGGAGCTGGCAAGGGACAGGCTGTGTCCTTGGTGGCTCTGCTTGAATGACTGACAGTGAAACCCTAAGACATGGTTGAACGTGTGCTCCAGTCCCTTCGGGTGGGGAGGGTTCATTGGCCAGCTCTGGATGCTCCTTCACAGCCTCTCCTTTTTGCAGATGCTACAGCAGTCACAGCTGTGGAAGCAGCTGAGCCAGAGCAGATGAGCACACAGAGCCATAGTGGGCTTGTGTGGAAAGGAATTTAGAAAGGGAATTAGCAAAAGTAGAGAGAGATTCCGTAAATGATGAAGTATTAGAGAAAAATATTTGCATTGTTGTCTTTGTGTTGCTGTAAGGAAAGGTCTTGGTCTGAGTAATTCATAAACAACAGGAATTCTTCTCTTTCAGTCTGTAGGTGGCTAAGGTCGAGGTCCAGGCCCCAACAAATTCACTGGTGTTAACTGTTCTGTCAAGCCAGCACCTAAATGCTGTCCCTCAGGCAGTAGGAGTGGGAGAGCACAGAAAGGGCTGGGGTGTCCCCACTGGCCTTTTTAGTTTTTTGGTGCAAGATCTTGCTGTGCAGTTCAGGCTGGCCTTAAACTCACTCTGTAGCCCAGCCTGGCCTCGAACTCAGAGTGATCCTCCTCCTGCCTCAGCCTTCAAATGCTGGAATTATAGGTGTGCGCCTCTACACCGGGCTTCTCTGGTCTTTTTGCAAGACACTGTTTATTCCTTTCTGTATGCCCTAGCATTCAGGGTTGTGTTTCACTGTGAGTGAGTAAGAGCAATAATCTTAGAGAATGGACGGCCCTGCAAAGCAGAAAGGGCACAAGCAGTCAGTGTAAATTTCTCTGTATCAAAGTTACCACAAATGGGGGCAGGGGATTTAGCTCAGTGGCATAAGCACCTGCCTTGTAAGCAGACGGTCATGAGTTCAATCCCCAGTACCGATTTAAAAAAAAAAAAGTTACCACAAATGGACTACATAAAAAATGATCTTGTTACAAATGATAGCCCCTGGGAACAGCAGTAATACTGGGAAAGGTCGCAAACTTGGTTGTAAACTATCTTTTGGGGACCAGCTTTGCCTTTCATTTTTTTGTAGTGTGTGTGTTGAAATATGCGTAACAGAACTTGCTGTTTTAGCCATAACTAAGCGTTCTATTCAGTACCCTCAGGTATATTCCTAATGTTGACCGCCAAGCGCCACTCCCCATGCTAGTGTTTTAAGAGGATTGTATCGTTTTAGTGCCTGATTTGTTACATGTTTATACATAAATTGTATGACTTGCTAATTTATTGTATATATAAATCACACACAAATTGAAGATATTTAAAAGACTTGTTTAAAACCTCATTTCTTGTTTGTTTGGTACTGAGGCTCGAACTCACAACTGCGCACTTGCAAGGCAGGTGCTTATGCTGCTGAGCTAAATCCCCAGCGATTATATAAATTTTGATTTTATTTATATATATATAAACAGCTTTGAGATTGCATTTATTCTGTATATATTCATTATTTTCCTTAAGGTGCAAGAGTTATTTACCTATGATTATGGAGAGATTTTTAATGTCCAGTTACCAGGCAAAGAAGAACGGACAAAATTTTTTGAAGATTTAATTCTAAAACAAGCTGCTAAGCCTCCTGTGTCAAAAAAGAAAGCAGGTTAGTTAACTATATCAAAGTTTAGTATACAGCAATTTTGAGAAAGTGGTAATTAACTCAGTTTTTTATTTGGTTTGGTTTTTATTTTGTCTTTTTAAGACAGGGTTTCAATGTGTAGTTCGCGCTGGCCTTGAACTCACTTCATAGCCCAGGCTGGTTCAAACTCACAGCAGTCCTGCTGCCTCCTGAGTGCTAGAAGTTAATATGGTTGACAGCTGTCTAGTAGCACAAGTTAAAAGCCTCAGTCATGAGCTTGATATAGTGACTGCTGAAAAATCTGTGTTTCCTGTTCAGATACAGTTCATAGGCACACAAGATGTTCATAGTATGGCCCCAGTCTGTCCTTCCAGGGGTATTTTTGGCATTTCTGTTTTCCCTTTCCTGTTTTTGTTAGAAAAGAATATTCTCATTCTTACTATTTTACTGTCAGTAACACTTTTTTTTTTTTATTTATTTAAGGAGAAAAGAAAAGAAAGATAAAAAAACAGTGAAGGGGTACAAGTTATACAGATTTACAGAAGAAAAAAATGCGCAGTAGGAAATCACTAGTTAATGGATTACATATTGCCATCTTAGAAATAATTGTTCCAGTCACAAAATTAAAGCTTGTAGAGTGGACATTCCAACAATGGTACTGCAAACAGTTCTGTTCAATGATCCAATAAAACTCTGTGATATCATTTTCTATCTTATACATTTAAATATACATGCAGTTATATAGTTTAGAGCACTTTCTTTTCCTCTCTTTTGTACAGTGACTATTACACATTTTGGGTTTCATTGCTCCCACGGTTCGTATTGCTTTTTTGGAAGAGAGTAAAACCAAATGTGACATAACAGAACAGAATCGGTCAAGTCAAAAGGGTGGATATAATAGATAATATAAAAACATAATACAAGGTAATCAACAATGGTTACCATAATGCCTCCCGCTGTCAGTAACACTTTATCGACCTCATTTCTGCCTGTAAGATCTATTTGGCCTTTTACTAGAACTTAAAAGTTTTTATTGGGAGGCCCTCCCTGATTTTGTGTAGGTATATAGTTAATCAACCCATCATACTTCTTTTCCAACAGACTTACGACACTGTAATTGTGTTTCTTAGTCCTTAATAGTCTTTTTTTGAGACAGGCTCTCACTGTAATTCAGGCTGACTTTCCTAGTCCCTTAAATTACCTTTAGAATAAAGCAGAGCCATGACTTTGGAGTTACCATTTTAAGTAACAAGTTACCAGTGACTTCTAGAGGAGATGTGTGGTAGCAGCCTGTAGTGGTCCTTCTGTAGTCCATATCCTAGTTCATGTGGAAGATCCCCTCCGAGCCTAGCATGTCCATGGGCACTTGTCCCCGCAGTAGAGCGAGAGCATAGGCACTGAAGTTTCCCCTTCGTGAAGTTTTGCAGGCATTGGAGGTCCTGCCGGTGGCAGCGCCCCCTGAGCCTCGACCTCTGACAGCCGAGGAAGTGCAGCGGCTGGAGGAGCAGGAGGAGGACACCTTCCGGGAGCTGAGGATCTTCCTAAGAAGCGTCACACACAGGCTTGCCATCGACAAGCGCTTCCGAGTGTTCACGAAGCCCGTGGACCCTGATGAGGTATCGGTTTACTGTGCAGGCAGTGCCTCGCTGCACTCCGACCTGGCCTTGTCTATATGGAACGTGTACTGAGTTCAGAGCACCAGACTGCATCAGTTGTATGTGTAGTACATTTTGGCTTTTCTTGCAGAGGATGGACAGTTTTTCTGCCTGAGCCAAACATTCTGAAAGTTGAGACTGTCTTCAGGGGCCGTGTGGTAGAACTGTGAGCCACACAGGTGGAACTGAGTGGGGAGTCAGGACTTAAATGGACATTGAGGACGGGTGATGATTGAAGGGAAAGATAGAGGGCTTTACTGGAGGATACAGCTGCTAGAGAATAGAAACAAATACAACAGCACTTTAGAGTCAAAGCTTCCGTGTTACTGTGTTACCCTCCCTTCTATTCTCTATGCCCTGTGTTGCATGACAAAGAAATGTCAAATGATTTTTTTACATTTAATTTAGTGATTTTTTAATCAATTGCTTGAATTTCAGGTTCCTGATTATGTCACTGTGATAAAGCAGCCGATGGATCTTTCATCTGTAATCAGTAAAATTGATCTCCACAAGTATCTCACTGTGAAAGACTATTTGAGAGATATTGACCTCATCTGTAGTAACGCTTTAGAGTACAATCCAGATAGAGACCCCGGAGGTGAATATTAGTGCTTCTGTCTTTTTAGGGATTGTTGGGGATGATTAAACGTACTGAACATTGATCTTTCTGTTAGGCACTATCTTACAAATAGCATTTTAATTGACAGTGCTGCTTAATCCTCACAACTACCTTTCCCCGTTCTTTACATAAGGCAGTGAAGTTTAGAAAAGTCATGCTGTTGATAGTGAAGTACGTTTTAAAGGACTTCTTAGCTGAGCCCATAACAGTTTTTATTACAGACATAGTAATAGAATGCTAATAGTAATTCTTAAAACTCCAGTTCCTCTGTTTCTTTCTCCCACAGTGGACACTGTTAAGACTGGGGATCTCTTTTCCACCAAGTGGGGCACCTGCCCCTCCACTACCCCAGAGGCAGAGGGCTTTTCGGTCCCATTCTGGAGCTACTGCTGATGCTGCTTTTTGTGCTATGGCAGTTTAAAATTACTTCTTTTTTTTTTTTTTTTTTTTTTTTTCCTTTTTCTTTTTTATTGGTACCAGGGATCAAACTCATGACCACACACTTGCAAGGCAGGCACTTATGCCGCTGAACTAACCTCCTAGCCCCAAAAAGTTGTGGGGTTTTTTTGAGGTTTTTTTGGTTTTGTTTTGTTTTGTTTTGTTTTGTTTTGTTTTTTTGGTACCGGGAATCGAACTCATGACCCTTGCCCTTGCCAGGCAGGTACTGTGCCACTGAGCTATATCCCCAGCCCTGGCAGTTTAAAATTACTGCAGATCAGTGGTGCTCAAATGTTAGTGGGCGACAGAATCTCTGGAAGGACTTCTTAAAATACAGATCGCTGGGCCCCAGGCGCCAGAGTTTCTGATGGTTTACATTTAGGGTGCAGGGCCTAAGAGCTGGCATTTCTGACTAGTTCCCAGCGAGCGGATGCTGCCAGGCTCCAGCAGATGCTTCGGGGACAGGGGCCCTTTTCTTTAGGCCATGTCCGCAGCCCTGTGCAGAGCCCTCACACTGCTGTAGCTCCCCCTCCTCTCTCAGCGGAAAGTGAACGTGGCAGCGGGTTGCCCTGAGAGGCTCTGACACAGCTGTGCTTTCACACATTATTACCTACCTCCCTCTGCCATGCTCAGCCTCCGAGTGCTGACACTCCAAGCTCAGAATTTTCCCAGTGTTCTATTTATGGTAGAAGTAAAAAGGAATTACAGTGGCTACTACAGGATTTTAGTCCAACATGTTAAGTTTATTTGCTGTTATTGAGTGGAGAACATTAATTGCATTTGTTTATTCATTTTTCAGATCGTCTTATTAGGCATAGAGCCTGTGCTTTAAGAGATACCGCCTATGCGATAATTAAAGAAGAACTCGATGAAGACTTTGAGAAGCTTTGTGAAGAGATTCAGGAATCGAGAAAGAAGAGAGGTAGGAAGTGGGTTAGGCATCAGAAAAGATGCTTCAGATATGTGGAGCCTTCAGTGGCTGAGATGTGTAATTCTGAAGGGAGGAGCCCCTTGCTGAAGTCCACATCTCTGTTGCAAGGTTGTTGCTCCTCCAAGTACGCTCCGTCTTATTACCACGTGATGCCAAAGCCCAGCTCCGCTGCTGCTGGGGACAGAAAACCGGATGTAGACCAAGATGAAAAACCACAGCCTCTCACTGCTCCAGTGGCTTCCAGCACACCTAGTAAGTACTCTTGGCTAATTTTCATTTTTAAAATTGAAACCATTATCTCTTCCAACTCAATTTACTTTCTCTATCCATTTTCTTTATTAATACAGTAAATTACATTGATCTCATTAGCAGTAGGAGAACCCTACATTCTTGAAATCCAAGTTTATGATGTGCCCATGAGTCTCTCTCCGCTCACCAATTAATTATGAATTGACTTGACTTGAAAATCATGTCATTTCCTACTAATCCTGCTGTATTTTCCGTTTCCTCCCCACACCCCACCACTGATTCTCAGCGTGTAACTCCAAATAAACCTCACATTTTCCGTGGCCCACCCTCCTTGACAGGCTTTTCATTCCAGTTTTTGCGTTTCGTGGCCCATGAGTATCAGGCTCTGCTTGGCTTCTTAGCCTCTTATTGTTTTCCATGTTCATGGCCCCAGTCCTCCCTGCCTTATTAGAGTGTGTGCACACGTACCCTCAAGTCCAGACCTGGCTGAGCAGGTTTGTCTTCTTTGGGATCATCGATTTGGAAAAGTAGAAGCCCCTTTGTGAGAGGGGACAGCAGGGAAAGAAAGGACAATGAGGGAGAATCAGCAAGAAGCTGCCTCTGCAGAAAGCTTCCAGTCATACCTGCGGCCAGCAAGTGCATCTGTGGAAATGGGCTGCACTTCTAGAAAAGCACCTTTTAAAGCTAGACACATTTTATACATGTGATTCATACACATTCCCATAGGGAGATAACCAACCCATGGTTATAGGAATCAGGGGTTGTTGATCCTGGGTATTGTGACTAAAGAAGGTAACTTGAGTATGGGTACTTGTTCTGTCTTTTGACCTGAGTGTGGTTACATAGATTTCTTCAGCTTGTGGATAGTCACTCTGTGTGTCTATCTTGAGTGCTTTATATATGTCCACTGTGTGTCAATCAAAAGTGCAAACTAGGGGCTGGGGATTTAGCTCAGCGGCGTAAGCGCCTGCCTTGCAAGCAGGCAGTCGTGAGTTCGATCCCTGGTACTGATAAAAACAAAAAAGACAAAAAAAAATAAAAAGTGCAAACTAGGCCCGTAGTGGTGGCACACAACTGTAACCCCAGCCCTTGGGCAGTTGAGGAAAGAGTGTTGCTGTGAGTTCGAGGGCAGCCTGAGCTGCATGAAGCAAAACCCTGTCTGCAGTAGATGATGCTGGATGTGGTAGCGCACACCTGTAATCCCAGCACTGAGGAGGCTGAGGCAGGAGGATTGTTGCGAGTTTGAGATCAGCATGGGCTACACAGTGAACTCAAGGCCATCCTGAACTGCATAGTAAGATGCTGACTCAAAAAGACAAAAACAAAAAGATGAAAAGGGATGTTTCCAAACTAAACAGACCTGTTGTATCCCTTGTAAAGTTTCTTTTTTTCCTTTTTGAGACAGGGTCTTTTTTTTTTTTCCTTTTTATTGGTACCAGGGATCAAACTCACGACTGCCTGCTTGCAAGGCAGGCGCTTATGCCGCTGAGCTAAATCCCCAGCCCCTTGAGACGGGGTCTTACCATATAGTCCATTGCTGGAATTACAGGCAGGTGCCACCATACCTGTCTCTCTCTCTTTTTTTTCCTGTAATTATTTGATTTTGGGTATTTTTGGTGAGGAATGGCCAACTGCATGTTTATTAGAATCAAAGGAAAAGCTCCCCACTGGCAAAGGAGGGGTGTGCCCTCAGGCAGGTGCCTACCGTTCTGGTGGGCAAATGTGCCGGGGTGCAAGGTGCTCCCGCTGGCCTCTGCTGTCTGAAAGGCAGGCTGCTTCCTCCAGAGTCTCTCCCTTTCTTATAAGATTTCTTTTCCTCTGCTTATCTTGGCACACCTCCGTCCTAAGTTGAAGAGATTTCTGTGCTGTGTATCTCCCAACTTGCTGGCCTCCTTGTCACCCAGTTCCACTTAGAGTGAAAACAGACAGCTCCTGTTTTTCATGGTGACCTTGGCAGGCACCGCACTGGGCCAGCGGCAGCAGTGCAGACCCCAGAGCCGCTCTTACACCCACCTCTTCTCTGCGCCCAGCGTTGAGTGGAAGTAAAGTAGTTAGTATGTTTCACAGGTTCAAAAGAGTTCTCAGTATTTATTAAAAACTCAATAAATTTAGGCTCTTTCTGTCTTGCATTTCTTTAGTTTCTCACACTGCTGCCAAAGTGATCTTTCAGAACTAGGCATCAGATCATGTCACTGTTTAAAAAAATACTCAAGATGAAGTCTAAGCTTCTAGCTGGGTGTGGTGGTGCACACCTGTAATCCCGAAACAATGGAAGACTGAGGCAAAGGGCTGCAAGTTCAGTCCAGCTGGGGCAATTTAATGACTTAGCAAGACCCTGTCTCAAAATAGAAAACGGTATGAGATATGTTTGAAAAATGTAATTACTAATTTGTTTTGTTTTAAGACAGGGTCTCTGCTTTCAGTCTGACTGTGAACTCACTTTGTAGTCCAGGCTGGCCTTAAACTTGTGGAGATCCTCCTGAATGCTGAAATTACAGGCATATGCTGCCAGGCTCACCTAAAAAGTGATTTATTACAGTGAGAGACACATTGCCATTATTGGAAGGGGTACCGGAACTCAAACTCATTCATCGCCCTCGCAGTGCTCCCTTTCTCTCCAAGCATATGTGCCCCACCGTTCCCGTCATGCTCTGAAGCAGTTCCGGAAGTGTTCTGTGCATGCCCTCAGTGGCAGTGTCATGGCTGCCCTGATGTCTTGAGTTTAGACCACTTACTGTCATGGTCATTTTACCTAGAGGAAGGGCCAGAGTTGCACAGCGCCAGTCTGGTGGGCTAGTGGAGGCACACACGGTGTGCTGTCTTCACAGCTGCCTCTCTGCCGCAGGACACTGGACAACAGCATGGCTGTCCTGTGTCTGAACTTGTTCTGTGACCAGTGAAGACACGGACCCCAGAGCCACTTCTGGGAGTGGCAGGAGCCGAGGGTATAAGGTAGCCAGTGCAAAGTAAGTGTTCAGAGGCGGTTAATGGCAGTGTCTTACTGTAATATTTGCTTTTAATTAAAACATTCGCTGAGTTGTTCAGACCTCCCAGCTCTGCCCAGAGGCCTTGGACTCCAATCCCTGGTATGACCAAAAGTAATTCCTTAAACTCTGTTGTCTCCTGTCTCCAGGTTCTCTTGGTTCTTAGAATTTAGAAAGTCACAGGATGCCTTTTTTTCTTACTCTTTGAAGCTCAGTTGAAAAGAAAAAAACGCAGAAGGTCCAAGTGGCAAGTTGGCACCATAACCAAGCGGAGGAAGGTTTCCCAGGACAGAGACAACAGCCAGAGCACTGTGGAAGAGGAAGTGGAGAGCGATGCGGAGGCTGCTCCAGATGCCAGTACAGGACAGAATGAGCATGGAGACACGGGAGAGTCTTCCGCAGAAGACACCGAGAAGGAGCAGCCTGCCTCTGAGAGCAGAGGCAAACTGGGAGGCTGCAGCTGTGGTGCCCCTACTGCGGAAAACGGGCCCGAGGCCAGGAGGGCTGCAGCGAGCTACGAATTGAGAAAAGAAAGGATTGTGTGCAACGGACATGTGTCTGGCTCTCAGATGACAGATGCTGAAAGTGAAGTAAAAGGTGAGTCTGAGTTACTAGACATTTCACTTAGTTCCTCACCTGTGAATTGCAAAGCAGTTTGTTAGTTTTTGCTTGGCTTTCAGAGTATGGATGTTATAACTCATTTCAAAAAATAATACTAACTTTAGTTACCTTTGAACTAGTCAGTTACTGTTTTCTTGATGACATTTGGCCCTGACACCTCAGGTTTGGGTCCCCAGATCACCCGCAGGACCCTCAGCCCAGAAGCTCGTGCAGTTGGGTAGAGATGCTGGGCAGTGCTCTGCTGTTGGATTGGAGCCCAGAGCCTCAGGCTGCAAGCTTTAAAGCCCTGGCCAGCGCCTCTGGTGCCTCTCCTGTTCAGGCGGGCGGTCTCAAGGCCACGATTTCGAGCAATGTGAGCAGCTCCTGGCCACCCCTACCATCTGTCCTTACTTGCAGTCAGTTCAGGACACTTCTACGTTCTCCTGGGTCAGAACTGTCTTTCTTTGGGTCTCCTTGAGCTTTTGGCAGTAGATTGGTTTGGATTTTGGAGGGGTTGGAGGTGTGGCTCAGTGGTCCAGCACCTGTGTAGGATGTTGGAAGGCTGTTCATTGCTGCCCCCCCCCCCAATAAAAAGATTTGTTTGGATTTGGGGAAAGTGTAGCATTATTTTATCATGCAAAAAATGGTAGCAGGCTCCAAAACGTGTCATAAAGAGGCAGTGACTACATGGGTTCAAACGTGAGCAGTCATGAAGCAGCCCACAGGGTCGTGTCCTTTCTGATGTGGATACTTGCTGGGTGTGGTGGCACATGGCTGCAGTCCCAGCACTTAGAAGCAGAGACAGGAAGACAGCTGTGAGGTCAAGGGCAGCCTGGCCACACAGCAGCCTGAATTGTGTAGGAAGACTGTCTCGGAAAATGTGTTCAGTGGTGTCAGGGACCACAGGCAGGCCTTGTAGGGATCGAAGTGCCCTGCCACTGGACCGCTCTCTCAGCCTTCTGTGGCTTCTGTAGATATAATCCTCTGGTGGTTCATGGGTTTTATTTGGAATCAGAAATGTTTGGGGTTTTTTTGTTTTTTTTTTTTTTGTTTTTTTTTTAGTCTCGTCTTTTTATCTTCAGGCAAGTATTAAGAGGGACAGTGTTTAGCTATCGGGGAATTCTTGTCCTGGCTCTGAGGGTAATGAGGTAAAGATCTTAAAAAACATCTCTCTGTTTCTTACCCTCATTTTTCTCATTTATGACTGAATAAGTTGCTCTGGACCAAGGATCCACGCGCTTGTTCTTTTGTAGGGTAGGCAGGGACCATGTGGTCTATCAGAGACACTTGTCCCTGCTGGGAAAACTGCTTTGACAGTGGTGAAATAGATGTGGCTGTGCTCTCATCAGGCTTTCACGGCGGGGATCTGGGGTTCACCCATTGGCGAGAGTTTACACCCTCGCTAAGGTTGGTTGGTTAGTTCTTTTGACAGTGCTAGAGACCGAACCAGGGGCTTTTGCTGTAAGCTGTGTCCCCAGGCTTTTTTTTTTTTTTTAATTCTAAGATGCAGTCTCACTAAGTTGCCAGGCTGAGTTTGAATTTAAGATCCTCCTGTCTCAGCTTCTCAGAGAGCCTGAATTATGGGCATGTGCCACCACGCCTAACTCCTTAGGTCAGATTTTGAGTCCCTCTTAACTCTTTAAATTCTGTGACTCTTGTGCCTAAGTAGAAGACGGTCTAACCTGTTGAGAAGCCTCTGAGGAGCAACATGAGAAACACTCACACTGTACTTAATCTTTGAGTATATGCTGGTGTCATAATCTTGTAACAGAGTTATTAAACCACAGTTGTAAGCTTCAGTAAGCTGCTTTTCTGGAAACAAGGTCAGCCCTCAGCACTCCTGCCTCTTCCTGCTGGATGCCACCACACCTGCCTGGCGGCTGTGTGAAGCCTGCACACCATTTCCATGGCCCGAATGATAGTCATTAAGTTTTCGTTTTAGAAATGTGTATCCTGCGGATGACTCGAGCCCGGCGCTGCCAAGTGGAGCAGCAGCAGCTCATCAGTGTGGAAAAGGCGCTGGCGATCCTCTCCCGGCCCACACCTGCGCTCGTGGTGGACCATGAGCGGCTGAGGGTGAGTGGGGGATGGGCGCGCTGGCACTGCAGGCCACTGGCAGGCTTCCTTGCCAGGCTGCCTGGAGTCATACCAGGCTCCAGGGGAGCAGAGCCGGCTGACTGGAGCTGGGTGCTGGGGCTTCATTGATGCTGAGCACTGGTGCGACGGTCTTGCAGAGCATCAGTGTCAGAAGGGAGTCCCTTGGGGTCGGGTTGGACCGGTCCGGGAGCTGTCGAGTTTTGATCAGCCGGCCACAGTGAGGGCACTGGCTGTTCTCAGGAGGAAACCTTCCTGCCAAGTCCCTTCAGGAGCTGTGTGGCCCCAAGCACCCTTAGAAACTGCCTGACTGCAGAAGTGGGCTTTGCAAGTTCCCTGCCTCCTTGGGCAGAAAGGTAGCAATCCCTCGGTGCTGGGCAGGCGGTTGGAAGGACCCTCCCAGCTCTACTCCTCTGGTGCAGGCGGGTCACGTGGTCAGTCCCAGGCAGCTGGTTGCAGGACCTTGCTATAGTCACTCAGCCCACCAGAGGCCACAGGCCCTCGCCTCCTGGGGGTGGGTGCACATGCATAGACTTGGCCATAACTAACATGTTCATTTATAGTTTGTTGGTGGGTTTGTTTGTTTGTTTGTTTTGAAACAGGGTCTGGCTTTGTAGTTCAGCTGGCTCTGAACTTACAGTGTAATCCAGGCTGGCCTCCAATTTGAAGGAATCCTCCTGCCTCAGGCTCCAGAATGCTGGAATTATGTGCAGTAGCCACTGTGTGTGGTTTGATTTATCGTTGTTAACATACTTACCCAACTCATTGTTCTCACACCTAATTTTGTTTTTTTCTTTTTGAGGTAAACTCAAGACGTTTCTGCTGGGTTACATCTGCAGCTTTTTTTTTTTTTTTTTTTTTTTTTTTTTTTTTTTTTTTTTTTTTTGGTTGGTGGTATTGTTTTGGAGAGACAGACACCAGGCTGGAATTTGGCATTCTTCCTCTCAGGGTGCTGGAATTACAGTCATGTGCTGCCTGCTACTCCCATCTCCCCATACCTTGTGTTTGTCTATTAGCATTTTAGTGGGTTTTTATGTAATTGTGGTGCCTCGTCCTAGCAGGCAACATGTGAAATACTATAGGAAGTCAGTCTCATTTCAGTCCTGAAGGAAAAACACCTAGTTGGAAAATTCTGAAAACAAAATAAACAAACACTGAAAGAGGTAAAATAGTAGTTCTCCATTTAAATAGTACCTTTTTTAGTTTCATGTAATGGAATTAGTTATACAGTTGAACTGCCATAAAGTACACAGCAGAAGTTACTTTTCTTCCTCTTTTGTGTGTTTTTTTGTGTTAGTAGTGGGAATCAAACTTAGGACTCACACTTGCCAAGCAGGTGCTGTGCTGCCGAGCTGTATCCCTGGCCTCTCTTCTTCTATTCTAATTTGATAATATTTTTAAATTCACCTAGAGATTCTGGGGGTGCAGTGGGAAGATGGTTTGAGTCACGGTCTTGCCATATTATCCTGATAAGACCAGGTTTTGTATTAACTTTGCTCAGAAGACGCAGTAGGCATCATTTTCAGGCTGTCCACACTTCCAGTTGGTTCGAGTCACCTTTCCTCCCACACAGCCCCCTTGTCTTCTGCATTGGTCCAAACTCTCCCACCCCCACACTGTGGCCTGGCTGTCCTGCAGCTCCTTCCTGCAGCACCATGGCCCGGCTGTCCTGTGCAGCCACCGTGCGCTCCTCAGATGAGCCTCCCAGCCATGTGGCCACTCACAGGGCCCTAGCAACACCGCTCTTGGTGACCCCACCCGAGTTCCTCACCTGAGTTCCACCCCCGGCAGGCCGGGCTTCACAGTTCCCATTAGGTCCGTGTCCAGGAGATGGGGGCACAGGAGAATTGAGGAATGTCACGAGGGACGATCCCCACAAAAGCGAGGAAACCCGGCAGGTACCAGAACTCCAAAGACAGTTATTTCACACGAGGAGTGCATTCAGTGTATCTGTCACACCACATACACTCGAAATCGTGCGGGTTCAGTAGACACAGCCACATTACTGGTTGTCAGCTGTGCACAGTATTTGCACGTTGTGTCTGTACTCCACTGGTCAGCAGCAGCAGTCTCAGATTCAGCTGTGTATGGAGGCATTTAACTTTTCTACAGGTGCCTGTTTGGATATTTACAAATACTTAGTTATAATTTATATTATTTAAATATTAGTGACAGTAATTTTATTAATATTTTATAGTCAAGTATATCTGTCATGTTTATATTGCAAGTACCTGAAAAATTATGTTAAGCCTTCTTTTCCAGTTAGGTCTTATTTTCAGAAAAATATCATCTTTCAGGCTGACCTTGAACTCACTTTGTACCCCAGGCTAGCCTCATCATCAGAAATCATCCTGCCTTAGGTGTGTGCCACCATTCCCAACAGCTATAGATAGAGTTTATAGCTAGAATTGAAATTAGTAGAATCCTCCACTGTGGTTTTTTTGTTTTGTCTTTTTCATTTTTGTCGGTACCGGGGATGGAACTCACGACCACCTGCTTGCAAGGCAGGTGCTTATGGTGCTGAGCTAAATCCCTAGCCCCCTCCACTGTGGTTTTTAAGGACAGGCATTATCAGGCCAAAGGCCAGGATCACAGAATAATGATAACATGAGGTCCAAGTGAGTGACCAGCTGTTTGAACAAGCTTGAGTCCTGACTTAGATTCCCGCTACAGAAGGTACTGACTACATAAACAAAGACAAACGCCTGCCCCGCCCTATCCCGCAGGTGGTTGGTCTGCCCTCCTCCTGGTTTGGATGCTAACTGTGCCTTAACTTTACAGTCAGCTTCTCCCAAGGAACTGGTCTCACACTCACCTGTTTTGCTTTAGAATCTCCTGAAGACTGTTGTTAGCAAAAGTGAAGACTACAATATATTTCAACTGGAAAATTTGTATGCAGTAATCAGCCAGTGCATTTATCAGCATCGCAAGGACTATGACAAAACCACGCTTATTAAGGTACACTGTTTGTTATGGAGTCTGAGGATGAATAGCTCCTTATCTGATTTTGTTTGATTTGCTTTGTTTTTTGAGACAAGTTCTTGCCAGTGTGGTTTTAATCTGGAATGAATTCACTATGTAATCCGGGCTGGTTTCTGACTTCCTGAGTGCTGGGGTTATAGGTTGTGTGCCACCACACAGCTATAGATAGGGTTTTTTGATTTGGTTTGGTTTTTTTTTGGTTTTTGTTTTTATTTTCGTCTTTTTGAGACCTGGTATCATATGCAGTCAGGCTGGCGTGGAAGTTATTCTCCTGCCTCAGATCCCCCAGTGCTGGGATAACAGGTGTGTGCCAGCACACCTGGGCTCAGGGAGGGTTTTAAAACAGGTCTACTGGGCTGGGGATTTAGCCCAGCGGCATAAGTGCCTGCCTTGCAAGCAGGCAGTCGGGAGTTCGATCCCTGGTACCAATAAAAAGGAAAAAGACAAAAAATAAAATAAAACAGGTCTACTAGTCTTCTTTTTTTTTTTCTCTCTCTCTCTCTCGTACTGGAAATTGAATGCAGGATCATCTTGTGCTTGCCAGGCAGGCACTTGTACCACTGAGTTATATCCCAGTCCCAGACCGACTTGTCTTCATCAGTTGTACTTTATAGACATTATTAAAGTGCTAATTTTGAAAAATATGTATGATTTTTAAATTTTAAAGTATGTCTGATGAGACATTATTACCACTAATCTGTAAGGTATAAAATGTCACCTGCATGTATATGATATAAAACCCCATCAGTAAGTTTATTTGAAAGTCTTATATTTTCATTTTCAATGTTTTATGTTTACCTAAGTATTATTTTTAAGGATGTTTATTATAATGAAAATATGTCTGATTTTTTCATATTAAAACTGACTTTTTTTTCTTTCCTATCCTTTCTATAGAAAATGGAGCAAGTAGTAGTAAACTTCAGGTGTTCTGGATCATGACGTCTTCGCATGAGGTGTTTTTATATTCAGTTCCTATTTAATTTACTTCTGATGTGTCCACAGAGTAACTGATGCAAGGTGAAATCCTGCGTCTTAAAGGAAAAGTTTCAGACCAGAAAATGCACTTAACTTTCCTGATAGCTGTGTGCATGTGTAAGACAGCCAACAGCTGTGGTGAGCCTGTGTGAGCAGGGCACTGTGGTGGTAGTTGAAGTTCAGCCAGCTCATAATAAAGCTGTTTTGTTAACTGATGCTTTGTGGCACTGAAGAGTGTTAGCAGCATTGCAGTTTTTCGAGTGAAGCACTTTCGATCCCCCTCCTGTCGCTGCTGTGTCCACCGTGGGCTCCCTCGCTGGCCCCTGAGAGCCAGAGGCTGAGTCAGAGCTCATGAGCCATGTCATGTTCTCCTGTCAAAACTGAGTGGCCTTAGATAAGCATTTTTATAATTCTAATGTGACTTAATGAAGTTTTTTTTTTTTGGCTCTTATGATTACATACAAAACAAATGTGTAACTACCTTTCTAAAGGACTTTAATAGCACACAATTTTGTATTTGAAAAGCATTTATATCTTTCTATAATTGTATGTAGGTTATATTCTATAGATATCTTTTATATGCAAATATATAAATATAAAATATTGTGTTACCAATACCAAAAATATATTTCTTAAAGCTAAAGCCACTGCCTTCATGTGCATATTCTTTTTGGTGAGAGGGGTAGACATTTAATCTGTAAAATAGCTCCTGTTGGAAACCTTGTTTGCAAAGCGTGGGGAACAGTAGTGTCAAATAAGGGACCGCGTGTTTCTGTGGCAGTGGCAGCTGTGCTGGGTGCGAACACCTGACCCTTTATATGCAGCAGGTGAAGATCACAGCCAGCCTGCTGCCCAGCCCAGCATCCTAGATTTTGATGCAGTTGGAGACTGAGCTGCCTTTGTTACTGATTTATCATCTGGGTTTTTCTTTCTTTTTTTTTGTGTGTGTGTGTGTGTGTGTGTGTGTGTGTCTGTCTGTCTGTCTGTCTGTCTGTCTGTCTGTCTGTCTGTCTGTCTGTCTTTTTCCTTTTTATCAGTACCGGGGATCGAACTCAACGACTGCCTGCTTGCAAGGCAGGCACTTATGCCGCTGAGCTAAATCCCCAGTCCATCAGCTGAGTTTTTAAAGCTTTCTAAAATCCAGCAATTTGGGAACTTTAATTAGTAGGTACTCTTACATAATCCATAAAGAAATGCTGGTTGCTGAGAACAACCGTGTACATATGTGGATACTGGTGGAGATATACATATTCATACTAATTTTTTTTAGCTTTATTATAACTTATGTTTCCACATGCATCTTTTATAACTAGCACTTCATTTTTTGTATACTGTCTTTATAATAAATTTGAAAGGTGGAAATTTCTCTGATTTTTTTTTTTTTTTAATTTTAAAGCATATTAAATGTAACTCAGTGCAGAACATGAAAACTGCTGTTCTGTGTATCACTGCAACAGTTGACAGTGCTGTGGAGCTGCCAGCTGAGGAGGTGACACCCAGAGTTCAGCTGTTCCGGGGCTGCTTAGGAGACTCCTGCTGACCAGGTCCCAAAAAATAGAAAGTAAAACAAAACGTGCTGTTGACATGGGAATGTTTATGTAGCGGGCTGCTGATACTGAAGTGTACTTAATGCCTTTCCTGTGGCACCCTCTCTGCACATTCCTAAAGTGATGTGTACATTTGTGTGTAGAGTTTTAAAATCCTGTTGAAATTGAAAAGTTAGACTGGGTGGGGTGGCACCTGCCTGTAATCTAGCACTTAAGAGGCAGAGGCAGGAGGATGGCTGCAAGTTCAAGGCCAGCCTGAACTGCATAGTGAAACCCTGTCTCAAGAAAGACAAAAAGAAATTGCAAAGTTAGACTAGAATCCTCTCTCCGCACTCATCCCAAGATGAAGACTCTGGAGCAGTAAGGAAAAAAGGGTTATTTTCCACATGGGAAAGGAAATGAAGACACCTATAATCACAGATTACCTAGAATTATATGTAAAAAGTCCTAAAGAATTTACACACACACATAAATAAACCTGTTAGCACCGGTAAATGAGTTTAACCAGTTATAGGTCCTGAGTTTGATCCCCAGTACCAAAAAAGAAAAATCAGTTATATTTCTGTACAATAGCAGTATGTAATCCAAGAAGAAATTGAGAAAGCAAGCATTTTACTTGCAGCATCTAAAACAATAAAACAGCAAAAAGGTAATGGATTTTTTTTTTCCAAGTCCATTTTATTTCAAAGAGAATTTCAAAACGCATCAATCAGGGCAACAACAGTACGTATGTTGTACATTGTCATTCCCAAATCAGTCACCCAAAGCACAAGGCATCTGTGTCCAATTGTCTGAACAATGCCAGCACAAATCTGTCTTCAATGAAGTCAAAGAAATCAGTAATATAACTGTCTTAACTATTTTTTATATACTTAGGTTTCTACTCACACTAGTGAGACGATACGTTTAGATAGGTCTGATTTACTTACGAGTATGTGCTCAAGTTTCAGCTGTTTACCTATAAAAGTGTCCAATTGATAACAGCCATTCTTGCTGGAGTTGGGTGGAATCTGAGTGTTTTACTTTGTATCTCTCAAATGACCAGTGATGTTGGATGTTTTTTCACATATTTATTCATATTTCTTCATCTGAGAAGCGTATATTCATCTCAGATGCCTGTTTTTTGATTGGGTTTTTATATGTTCTTGATAGTAATCCTTTGTTGAGTTACAGCTGGCAAACATTCTCTCCCATGATGTGAATTGTCTTCACTTTATTAGTGATTTCTCTTGCTGTGTAAAAGCTTTTCAGTAGGGTAAGACCCAGTTGTTGATTGTTGTGATAGTTCCTATGCAGTAGAGGTTTTGTTTATGAAGTTTGCCTAAAACACCAGTGCCTTCAAGAGTTCTACCTATTTTGTCTTCCAGCAGATTTAATGTTTCTGTTTTAATATTAAAATTGATCCATTCTGATTTTAGCTTAATACATGGTAAAAGATATGGGTCCAGTTTTAATCTTCGGCATGTGTAGAGCCAGTTTTTCCAAGGTGCTGGGTTTATACAGGAACTATAAAATTGCTAGAAGACCCTGATTGACATGTTTTGAATTTTTTTTCTTGAAATGGATTTTTAACAAAATTAATGAAAGAAAAAAAACTTAAGTAAACAAACACATACAGTAGTCATGGATTAGAAGACAGAATGCTGGTAAATGGCAGGGACCCTGGGAGCAGTCTTCCACCAGCATCACAGTCACCTCCTGAAAAATAGGAAAGTTAGTTCTAAAGCTCATGAATTGCATAGTATCCCAAGTAGCTCCCCAAAATGAATCTTGAAAAACGGCTTCACTCTAATTTTGGGAGTTCTGTCCCCCACCCCTTTGGTACTACCGGTCAAACACACGGTCCCACATTTGCCAGGAGATGCCTAAGCCACTGAGCTAAACCCCCAGCCTCTCTAATTTTGAAACTCACACAAAGCTACACTAATCAAAGACGTGTGGTGCCTATATAAAGCTAGACATAGGGTAGAGAAATCCAGAAAAATAGATGATGGCCGTTTGGTTTTTTGACTTTGTTGCTGGTTTTTTTGTTTGTTTGTTTTTTCATTTAATTTATTTATGGATTCTGGGAGTCAAACTGAAGACTACACTTAGCAGGCAGGTGCTTATTCCCCAGCTTGGTTTTTTGTTTTGTTTTGTGGTACTGAGGATCAAAGTCACGACTTCACACTTGCCAGGCAGGTGCTTATGCCCACTGAGCTAAATCCCCAGCCCACCAGCCCAGTTTTTTTCTTTGCTTGTTTGTTTTTGTTGTGGCTGTTCTTTATTGGGGGGAGGCTCGTTTTGTTTTGTGTGGGGGGGGGTTCCCCCTTTTTTTCTTTTTTTCTGGTACTGGGGATCGAACTCACGACCGCCTGCTTGCAAGGCAGGTGCTTATGCCGCTGAGCTAAATCCCCAGCACCTTTTGTGGGATTTTTTTTGTTGTTGTTTTTTGAGTCACATCCTCACTAGTAGTTCAGGCCGGCCTTGAACTCACTGCGTGGCCTGCTGGCCTCAAACAGCTCTCCTCCTACCTGGGCCTCCAGAGTGTTGGGATTACAGGCCTGCACCACCACACCTGGCCTGATCGATTGCTTTTTTTCTTTTCTCTCTCTCGGTTGTTTTTTTTTTTTTTTTTTTTTTTTTTTTTGTACTAGGGATCGAAGTCAGGACTTTGCGCTTGCTAGACATGCACTTATGCCACAGAGCTAAATCCCCACCCTTGATTGATTGATTTTTGACAAGGATGCCCAAATTCCTGAAATGGGGAAAGGGCAGTCTTCAAAAGCAGTGTTTTTTAATGAGGTTTGAACACCAACTCTGTATCCACATTTAAAAAATGAAGTTAAATTGTTCCTCATACCAAGTTAAATCGTTCCTCATACCATATAAAAACAAAATCAAAGGCCTAGATAGTGCTAAAAATAAAAATTTTAGGAGAAAACAAAAGCAACCCCTCATGGTGTTGGATTTACCAAGGATTTTGGATATTCACCACCAGAAACACTACCAGCAAAAGAACTGGGTTGAGTTGCACTTTATCAGAGTTGTATTTATTTATTCATTTTATTTTGTACTGAGGATTGAGCTCACAATCGCGCTTGCAGACAGCCGTTTAGACCACCGCACTAACTACACCTCATACAGTTTCCAAGCTGTGTTACACTTTTAAAACTTTTATTATGAAGGACATTTGGTGCAAAACAACCCAGCTGTGTTACTGGCATTCTCTAGAGGAACAATCAGAAGATGCATGACTGTGCAAAGAGGTGGACTAGGCAGCCTACAAATGCTCCTTGGTGAGGTCTCCCTGGACCCTCTCCAGTAACCAAGCCACGAGTTTTTCCAGTGGGAGGGTCTTAGTTACTTTTCCTTCCTGAGACAAAATACTTGACATCCAAAATTAGGGAAAGGAAGATTTATTTCTTACAGTTTTTTTTTTTTAATTCGTACCTGGGATCGAACTCATGACTGCCTACTTGCAAGGCAGGTGCTAATGCCGCTGAGCTACATCCCCAGCCCAATTTCTTACAGTTTTAGGAGTTTCAATCTATACTCAATCTGCTCCAAGGCAGGATGGTGTGGGCGGGGACAGCCCTTTAGGCATATTACTGACCAGGAGAACCCAAATAGCAAAGCACCAACCATGCAAGAGCCAGAAGACACGCCTTCTTCCCCCTGAAGACACCTTCCTCTCAGTACACTGTGTACTGGCTCCCACCCTGGGTGGGTGCAGCAACTCACCACCAATCTGGACGCTAGACAACGAACCAATCACAAACGCTAGATTCAGTCGCATCCATAATTGAGTGAGGTTTGGTGGGGGGACACTGACATAAACCATGACAGAGGGAAAAACATTGCTGGAGAGGGAGAGGGTATGAACAATGCCCCGAGGTGAAAAAGGCCTTATGCTTACAACCTTGCACATTTCTGTGTCGATGTGAGGCATATTTTTGACCAAGAGACTTTTCCGCAAGTTATAGAGATTTGGTGCCATTTTTATCCTAGGGATAAGCTGTTTATTCCAGCTGCTTCCAGCTTTGTTGGCTAGCTGCCTTCTGTCTCCCAGGTAAAACCTCCCTCAGTTTCCCTTTTGTAAGGCCACTTATGATTTAGGACTCAGCAGGATACTGCAGGACAGCCTCACACCTCAGCATCCTTAATCTTATCAACATGAGATTCCAGGAATTACAACAAAGATTTTTTGGGAGGTCGTTTTGAGCCTACCACAAACATGCAAAATACAAACTGAAGAAATCGTATTCCCACCCACCCCGAAGCGTCTCTATACCGTCTGAAAATCCAGTTTTGCTCAACTCATTGTCTGTCCCTACCAATCCTTGGGAGTGACTATTTTTACAACTCTAGAGTCATCATTAATGGGCCTCACTAAAAAACTCCTTAGAAAATGGCTTTGACTGCTTCCACCACCCCAGACCACAAACTAGGGATGACTTGCATCTGTAAGTCGACCTTGCCCTGCAAGATGACTTTGAGAGTTCCAGCCACTTCGATGCACACAAATGCAAATATACTCACACACACACAAGGAGGCAGAGGGAAGCACGGAAAGCCAGGAAGTGCTGTCATCCTTCCCCTTCCAAAAGCTCTTCTACAAATTATGCACACTTCCCTTTGTATCTCATTGGCCGGCACTTGGTCATTTTGCTACAATGAAAACAAGAAACATGGTCATGTCCTAGCTGAAAACACTGCCCACAGCCTTCTTATGAGGAACAGGAGAACCGAGAAAAAATGGATATTTCAGGATGGCACCTGGCTATCTTTTCCTCAGTGTTCTAACAGGTTTCTGCCTCTGCAATATCCAACATGGGACTTAATCACACTGCTTGGCTGGAGTAAGAAATACCTACCAGATTAGGAAAGCAGAGTTGTGGGTGTCCATGAATGCCAAACTAAGGGGGAGACCTACCCAGACTGTGGGTGACACCAACCAATAGGCGTGTAGCCTGAATGGACTAGAGAAGGGAAAAAAGAAAGTGTCCATTTTTGAGCAGGCATCTGCTACCATGGCCTTCAATTGTCAGTCTCATGTAGTTGACCTTCAGCTCAGACTTGCACCAAGGACTCTGCAGGAGTTTCCAGGCCTCTGCCTTGGGCTGGCGCCACGTCCCAAGTCCCTCTTGTTCTGTGGCTTCCAACTTCTTGGGCTGGGCCACTCCCGAGCCCTGCTTTGCAGCACAGACAGCTGCCATGGACTCCTGCCTCATTCTGGAGCGGCAGAGGTGGACTGGCCCCTCTCTGATCTGTAAGTTACCCAGTAAATCTTGCAGTCCATACAAGTCAGCCACCCTCAGCAGAGGTGCAGCAGAGTAAAGAAAGGAAGGGTGGAGTGGTGAAAGCCAACCAGGATGCCTGCAGTCACAGGGTACGTGGAAAGTCAGCTGCGGAGGTGATGCCTGCTCTCCAGACTGGCACAGCTGCTGTTCCACCCATGCACTGCAGAAAGGATTGTGTGTGTGTCGCCACTACATGGTCACGTTGGACTTGGTAATACTTATTAAAAAGTATGAAATGTGTCTGATAGGGCTTTGATTGCTGCTGTGCCAATCATCAGTGATTTTGGTACTTCCTTATGTTCGGTGAAAATCCTTACTTACACCTGTAACATCACTGTGTAGTGCTCTAGGAGACACCTCGAAGCTCCTGAGGACAACTGGAAACAAAAGTGCACACGGACGTTCACTGAACAATTGAATGAATGCTGGAGACACATTAAAACCAAAGTTACCAACAGTCAGATGCTGTCCAGAGGTGCCGCAGGTGAACAGGGGCCTGGAGACTGCTGTCTGTGGGTCAAACATGCACTTCCATCTTCCAGAGTCTACCGTGTGACATTGACCCATGCAACAGAGTACATGGATTTCTTGACACATTTTTCTCTCCCACCTGTTCTGACATGACATTTATATGTGTCTTTTTCTGTCTTCCACCACTGTATTAATATTTTTATATAATGTTTTGTGGTGCTAGAGACTTAGCCCAGGGCCTTGCTATGCCAGTCAGATGTTCTACCACTGTTCCATCCTCAACCCCATTTTCTGCAATGTGTTTGTTTTGAGATGAGTCTCCCTGTGTCTCCCAGGCTGGTCTCAAGCCCCTAAACTCAGGATTCTCATACTTCCTTGAGTACCTGGTCTCCAGGCACGTGTCACTCTGCACAGCTTCCCACCCTGTCTTTTAAACATTTTAATGGCTGGGTGTGGTAACCCATGCCCGAAGTCCCAGCACCCAGGCTGAGGCAGGAGGATACCCTCGAGTTTGAGGCCAGCCTGGACTACAGAGTGAATTCAAGGCCACCCTGGGCTACCTAGCATGAGCCCATCTCAAGAACCCAACAACAAACAAACAAAAAATGGCAAATTCTTCTGTCCCAACCTGGGATCTTACTCTGCACTCTCCAGATGTTCTCTCTCAAGGCTAAATTCACAGAGCATCACTCTCAGTGACCCTTTCCAGGCCGAGTCACTCCTCTAAGCCAGGACCAGCCTGTGCTGCTCTTCCTGACCTCTGCTGCTCCTCCTACTCTCTGGAAGCAATGATAAACCCTGCCATGTTTGCCCCCATGCCAAGGCCTAGAACTCGGCTCCCCTCAGCTCTCAGCTGTCACCAAGCCCTGCCCGGGCTTCCTCACTGGGTCCAGCCTGCCTCCAGTCACGTGTGACTGTGCCCACGTGGCGAGACGCCTCCTTTGGGCCTTCTTGCGTCTGCCCTGCCCCGCTGCACCATCTTCCACCCCATAGCCAGGGGATTGTTAGAGCATTCAGCCTTTATCACTGCTATACTCCTCTAGGGCTGCCCTCTGGAGACCCTCATGCTACGGAGTCTCCACCCATAGCCCGCTCTTCTGGTCCGAGACATCTCAGCAGCACTGGGCCATTTCTCTTCTGTCTCTGGGCTTCCTCATGCTGCTTCCTGAATCTTTTTCACCTACCCCTACTCCTGTCCTACAGTTCCCAGCATAAAGTCACTATCCTAGAGACCCTTTCCTGCTTTCAAATGAGAAGCCCTATTTTTTTTTTTTTTTTTTTTTTTTTGGTCTTTTTCATTTTTATCGGTACCAGGGATCGAACTCACGACTGCCTGCTTGCAAGACAGGCACTTATGTCGCTGAGCTAAATCCCCAGTCCCCAAGAGAAGCCCTATTTTAATTTCTCATGTTTTGTTTGTTTTTGAGTCATGGTCTCACTGTAGTTCAGGCTGAACTTGAACTCACTACATAGCCTAGGCTGGCCTTGAACTCTTCACAATTCTCCTGCCTCAGCCTCCTGAGTGCTGAGATTATGGGCATGCGCCACCACACTTGGTTTAATCTCCTTTAACGCCCAGTATTCTTACATTATGACACACTTCATAATTTATATATTTTTAAAATATTTATTTACTGTTTCTCTTACCATAAAGTCATAGGCTTTCTAAGGTCAGGAGCTATGTGTATATAGGTCCAGCACCTACTGCAATAGGTACATGGTTGACACTGAAAAACAGTGTATTTAACGCCTGAGTAAATATGTAAGGAGAGAAGAAATTGAGAGCAGGAGAGGGAGACAGGAGGTTCCTAGGAAATGGAGGGCATAGTGTGTCAGAACAGCAGAGCAGGAGGACCCCGTTAGCGGGCTGGAGAGTGACTCACTGGTACAGCACTTTCCCAGCATGCTCCAAGCCCTGGCTTTGATCCCTAGGCCTGGGGAGAAGGAAAAGATAAAAGTATTCCCAGCTGTGTGGGAGGCTGAGGCTGGAGGGTCACCGTTCAAAGCCAGCCTGTGCAACTCAGACGCGATCTTAAAAATTTTAATTTTTTTAGGATATAAACTCACCTTTAGTGTAATTTTAGAAGCCTCTTCTGTAAGATTTATTTTTCTCATTTCAAGGCTATGAAGGACAGATTTTTAGTTTGGTACAGTCTGAGCTGTGTCAGCAAAGTAATTGCGGAATGAGCTGGAAGGAAGGTCGTAGGGGTTTGGTTTTTTGGTTTTGTTTTTTACTAGCTCTGGGAGCAAGTGAAAAATACCAAGAAATGCTGTATTTACGCCTAGGCAGTGACGAAAGACACAGGCAGCCTTCGTTAAATCGTTAAATCGCTGGGTTATAAACGCAAGCTTCCTGTGGGCAGGGCTCAGTACTTTCCCGGCTGTGCCAGGCCCTGGGTTTAATCCCTGGTACAGAAAAACAACAGCAAATGCCAGATGGGTTTCATTTGGTTAACATTCTTAGGTTGAAAGCAACAGAAATTCTTTCTAACTTGAGCAGAAAAGCGCATATTTGAGAGGCTGTAAATTACCTTGCGCATGGTCAGAAAAACCAAGTCGGCGGAAGAAAAGCAGCTCTAGTAATGTGACTCAGCATGGCCAAAACTTACCCAGGCTGCACGCTGGGTTTCGAGGTCCCCACCTCCCCTCACTGACAGAAGAATTGGTCTGGCCCTGATGTCCACGGTGCCCTGATCGGAGGCCAGGGTCACATAACCCGGGCAGCACAGTGTGGGACTCACATCGTGAGCACGCGGGAGCTCTGCAGCCAAGCCAGGGCTCCCTGTCCCAAGGCTGGCACAGCCAGGGCTCCCTGACGTCACTTCTGACTGCTTCTGAGCCAGCTGCTTGTCGCCTTGTGTGCGATTTACACACCATATCTCATTTTAACCCTTCCAAAGGCCCTGGAGGGCCTAGTAGGAAGGGTGCAGTATTATTTTATTCTACAATAGGGACATGGAAGCTCAGATGAAGGCACTTATTCATTGTCTTATGTGTCAGAAGCAGGACTCCAAGTAGGTCTGCTGCTGAGCTAAATCCCCAGGTCCCATATTCTCTTTTCTGAGACAGGGTTTCCCTATGTAGTTCTAGCTGGCTTTGAACTCACTATGGAGCCAGGATGGCCTCGAACTCATGGCGATCCTCCTGCCTAAGCCTCCCTAGTGCTGGAATAATAGATGTGCACCACCACACCTGGCAGGAACCCTTATTGTTAACCTCATGCCTTGAGCAGAACCCACACATGCCCCTGGGTATTCGATCTTCCAGTATTAACAGATGGCTGCCTCCGCCAGCCTTGCTAACCTGCACATGAGGCTTGGCTCCTATTCTGTCTGAGGGGTCAGGGAGTGCACACACCTGTGCACAGCTGCAGTGAGCAAGAGATGGGCATGGGTGGTGCCGGCAGCCTCTTCCCTTGTGGACAGGACAGCTGGCAAGTGTACCCTGTGTGCTTCTGTGGGGGCGAGGCCCCAGGGCAATGCCTGCCCTGTCACCCTTCCTCTGCCCGCTCCACCACCCTCTTCCCCCAGGGAGCCCAACTGACACTGCTTTATAAAACCAAAGTGGGAAAAGAAGTGTCCTGACTGTAATTATGTTTTTCTTAGCTCTCAGCTATTGAAACTCACAAACCGGCATTAATGTCCTCCAACAACACTTTTATTGTGACGGTGTGATGATTTTATTTTCACATTTCTTTCCATTTTAAAGATAGCTGTATTTTGTGGCAATGCTATGGGTTTTCTGAACATTGCTTTTATGAGGAAAAAGTGTTCAGGCTGTGTAATTTTAGTGTGCAAAAGTTGGAAACGAAATTATTCCATCTGAGCCGTTCACTCTGCCAGCAGCTAAAGCCTAGCAAGAGGCAGGGGCCAGCACTTAGCATGCATCGCACACCCTGGAGGCTGAGGGCCATGGCCCTCGAACACATGCTGCATCCAGATGACTGAGATGCGCGGGATACAGGGGACTGCAGCACTACAGGGATCACAGAGGGCCCGATGTGGGGACCCGGGACCTGGGCCGCTGAGGGCCACCGGCTGGTGTGAACTTCACCCAGCTTGAAGACTGCTGGGGGCTGGGCAGCAGGGGGGACTGAGCCTCTAGCAATAGATAATGTATTCATGAAATAATTTGGAAACTGATTACGTGTGACGAATCTTAATTACAGCTATTTGTTGTGGTGGATGTTTAGGAAAATCAGGATCTTTAAAAAGAAGCAAGCTTTTGCTTTAATTATTTAGAAAGAAAATAAGTTATCACCAATCTTATGTTATGCAATTATTTTTTTCACTCGGTTTATATGTTTTATATTTAGGATCACAGCATGTGTCTTTTCTGTTTCTTGCTTAATTTTTTCAAAGTCTCTTTCTCCACCCCATGAGGGAAGAAATGTAAATAGCCACCATGACTCAAACAAATTCCCTCTTTTCTTTTGAACCTTCCCCTCACAGCTGTGGCTGGAAATATGACCTCTAAAATGCTAACTAAATGAAAATGTCTGCCCAAAAAGACAGACACCTAATATTCATAGACCAGCTAAGCTTGGAGGAGAGGAAACAGAGCTAAGAGCATTTTTCTTTCAGAGAAGAACAGCCCATCTTCGAATATACAAAAATGCTAGTGACAGTGGCTAGGACCGGGAAAACAATGGATTGCTTTGTCTGTTTTTAAAAGTTTCTGCAGTGATTGTACTCCTCTGGTAATAAAAATAATTCACAAAAAAATTAAAAATTGCCTTTAGTTATGAAATCTGAAATAGCTAACAGAAAACCAAAATATCAGAACAATGCGTCTGTATATCTAAACTGAAAAATTATGTACCCCTTAAATTTTCATACTGTCCCTCAACTGTCTAGTAGTAAGTATATTTTACAAGAGCTGTTCAAAGCCTGCAGATGCACCTGCATGATCAGAAGGAAGGGTGTAATGTTTGGGGGTAACATAAGCATAGTGTAAGGTGGCATCTCAGGTCACAATTTCTTCCACAGTTCTGGTACAAACCAAGCTGAATGAGAACTAAATCAAATTCAGTGGTTAGGTTCAGTGTTGACTTTATTGGAAAATTTGATTCAGTTCTTGTCCAGTTTAGTTTGCAACCCGAATTGTGGAAAGAGTTAAGGTCATGAACTAAGACACCACAGTACCTCACCGACTATAAACTGTGTACTTTTCCTCTGGCTATCACACAGGAAGGAAAGAAGTGGAGGTAGGTTTCAAACTGAGAAGTTAACCTAGTAAGAAGTCCAACCTAGTTGGCCTATTTTACAATTTATAACATTCAAGGAATGAGATCATGGTAGTTAAACCACATTACAAATGACAAGATCCTATAAGTTACTATTTGGATGTTTTAAGAATAATCATGAAAATAGGGACTATGTCTATCTTGCTCCATAAATATCCCCGGGATTTGTATATGTATGGACCTACATATTACTATGGAAGGCATTAGGACAGAGAAAAATGAGGGATGTCTTTGCCCCGCAAAGAGGTGGTAAACAGCAGACTAGGTTCAGTTTTGGTACTGACCTCATGCTTGCCAGGCAGGCGCTTATGCCACTGAACTAAATCCCCAGCCCTTAAACTCCAAACCTAACTTTCAGCATGCCTCTACACACCTAGTTTTCTTAGGGCTCAGTAAAGAGTCTCCATTTTGGTTTGCTTCCTACTTTCTTTATTATCCAAGGCACAGAAGGATGGATTTTACCATGCATTGGAAGGGGGCAAACACAGGTTTCAGTCTTCTGGGACACAACGTCCAGAATGGTGCTTCTTGGTGAGGTAACATGGCAGGGACATTTGCTTCCCACCAAGACATTGATGTGTTCTCTCCAGTTTCCTGGGTGTGGCCAGAAAGAGGCCACTGCCTGGATCCGTGAGTTGACACCTGGAAGGAAGTGGCCCTAGCACATCTCAGGGATCTGCCGGAAGCCTTGAGGAATGAGAATAAACTTTGAGTTAAGCCTTGGGTGTTTGGGGTTTGTTTCAGTCACAGAGCTCAGTCTGGTCTAACAGGCCATCCATTCATGTGGTGGTGGCTGACTCTGTGATGGAAGAATCTGTGTACAGGGGCTGGGGATTTAGCTCAGCGGCATAAGCACCTGCCTTGCAAGCAAGCAGTCGTGAGTTCGATCCCTGGTACCGGTAAAAACGAAAAAGACAAAAAGACAAAAAAAAAAAAACAAAAAAAACCAGAATCTGTGTACAAGCAGGTCTGTGAGATCTGCTTTAAAAGGTGCTCAGCAATGCAAGTGTCTTTCTTTTTCCATGCTGGCTTCCTCTACAAAACCAAGCCCAGGGAGAAGTCCTGACCAACTCCAGGACCACTCAGCCTCACTGGTTCTGCTACCCAGACTATTTGCACTTTGGCTTCTACCAGCTGGAACAAGCCAATCCTCCCAAGCCTCAGTTTTCTGACCTAAAAAACAGGGGGTGTGGTGCCACAATTTATAGGATTCTCTTGAAAAATTATATTCTATTGTGGAGCACAGCCCTGACCTCAGAGCATGACCTTTAACAAAATACAAATAAAAGGATGACTAAATCCCACCCTAGACCAAATAAGGGGGGGTGAGACTGGGCATTGTTATTTTTCTAAAGCACCAGGTAAAGATTCTGTTGTCTAATGTCCAATGAAATCCATTGATGTAAGCAACACAAACACAAATAAAGTGCTGTTTGTTTGTTTCTTTATATAAAATAAAAAATTTAAGGGCTGGGAATGTTTGTTTGTTTGTTTATATAAAATAAAGAATTTAAGGGGCTGGGAATTTAGCTCAGTGGCATAAGCGCCTGCCTGGCAAGCGTGAGGCCGTAAGTTTGATCCCCAGTACCAAAAATGGAGAGTTTAAAACACCAATAGCAAACCTTTTAGAGCATTCAATGATGTCAACAGCCCGCTACAGCAATTGTGACATAGGTTCACCACTGCTAGTTTAAAATACAGACTTCACAATATTAAAAACTTTCAGCAAGTATCCAGTGTGACTACTTATTAATGGGTGTGCAGCTATAAAAAGGCTTCTTCATAAATTACTGATGCAGAAAATGAATAAGTAGTTACTAGATACTTCTCAGGGACTAGAGAACATTCCTATGCATGGCCCGTAGATAAGCTTAGCGATGACACCTAGGAATAGACAGACAGACGAGGTCGCTCCTGTGTTTCTGTTGGTATGGGATTGCCGCATCTCTCCAGTGTTGCTAGGATAAGTCCTAACCCCTGGTACCTCAGCAGTGGCCACGTCTGGAGATAGAATCTTTGCAGAGCTAGTTGGTTGAAATGAGGTGGCAAAGGAGGGCTAATCCCGGGCAACTGCTGTCCGTAGAAGAAGGTAGAATTTGAAACTTGATGTATATGTACAAAGGAGCAATAGCATGAAAAAATATGGAGAGAAGGCCGCCGTCCACAAGCCAAGCTGGGAGGCCTGCGCCTCACAGCTTTGGGAAGGAGTGCATTCTGCGAAAGCCTTGATAATGGACTTGTGGTTTAGGGCCACCCCTCCCTGAGTGCACTCGATCTTCTCTGGTAGTGGACTCTTAGCCTCCAGAATTGGGAGAAAAATTAATTTCTGCTGTTTAAGGCACCCAGCCGAAGGTAGTTTTTTAGAGCAGCCCTAGGTTAAACACCTGTGAGAGACCTAAAGCATTAGTGAGAAAAATAGCCACCATGCCCCACTTTACCAAGAAACATTTGGGAGGACGATGGCTATTTATAGGTCCTTGAAGTTGAGTACTCTGAGTATTGGACAGGAAGGTAATTTCAAATTCGAGAGAAGGCTGCATTTGTCCAAGAAAGGTGACTCACTATGTGTCTGGCACACGCCCCTGCTGCCTGCACGGAGCTGCCC